ACAATGTCTATATCTCTTAATAAGTACTTGGGATCCAAGTGTACGGCTCAGTCCAGTGTCCTGCATTTGCTCTGATTTTCCTTACAGAAATATGCTCTGTAGTTGTCTTAATATGAAATGTCCCTAGAATACGTCTATATAAGACCCTAAACTGTTGTTCTAAATTATTTTTCTATGTATCAAGAATAATAATGTTTTATTGGCAAAAAAAAAGAATAATAATGTTTCAGTTTCCAATGAAAAGCCCAAAGATGAATACACCACAATTCTTTGGTAAGCTTATCTCCATTAACAATTCACATTTTCTTGGAATGGAAGAATAATAAACCTTTGGGTCTTATTTTAACAAATCCTCTTCAAAAATGTCTTTCACTTTTAGTTTAGTTTTGCACCAAATGAAGATTGAGGACCCTTTAGGCCCATCATCGAAGGTGGGCTGTCAAAGCCTAAACATTTCTTGAAGTATTCCAAGGCTTAAATCTCTAATTGGTAAACATGCAGAGTTACAGAATCGTGTTAAATGAAATAATGTATAGAACAGTATGACGAATGCATTCACAACTGAAAGATAGTGGAGATGACATAGTGATATATTTGATTTGGTAATCAGATTTTCAAGAGAATAGCTATATTTTAGCAACAATTTTGCATATTTGTAAAATCCTACGTAATCCTATAACCATTATAGGAATCACCAACTAGACTGTATTATCCATTATCGTCCAATTTTTCTCAATATTTGTGCACCCCTAAAAAATATCTATCTGCATAGTTGTAAACAGAAAATAATCTTTGAACTGATATCAAATTAAGCCCGACAACTTTTTCACCGGGTCAAGACAAAACATCACGCAGGTGAAAGCGACCTAGAGCCTCCGCATATACCACTTTATAGCTCAGTGCATTTCGCTTTTGCTATTGTTCAGAACGTGGTCCAATGAGACTACATTTCCACTTATACATCTATTATTATGTTTCTTGATTAATATATTATGCATATAAGAAAGTGAAGACTTTAGACAAAAGTAAGAAATTGAAGAAATAGGGGTAGATGAAGTTAACTAACATGTGTAGAAAATGAGCCACTGATATTATTGAAAATATACTTGTTTTAGGATAGAGAGATTATATACATTCTAATGTGTAGGACTACCCAAAACAGCAAAACTCATGATACAAAATCATATATACTCCAATGTATATGTCAATATTTTAAATGTTAGTGCTTGTTTGGGGACAATCACATAATCATAACAAATTATAATATATAAAAAGAACAAAGAGAGAAGAAACTTACAGAAAAACATATGAAGTTGGCTGCAATCTTCTTGGCTTCCTCTGTCTTATTCTCCCTTCTTTCAATCCACCTTTCACAAGGTCTTCTTATCATTCTACTGAGATTACAGTTTTGCTCATCGATCTCCGGTTAACCAAAAACTCTTCTTTTCGTTGATGGATTAGGTGAAGCTGCTGGGGAGAGAAGGCAGTGGTGCCCGTCAAAACAACAAGTGTTCAGAGGTTCATGCTCAGACGATGGAGGACAAAAATGTCTAAATGACTTATTATGGACATGGAATCCAAGTGTAAGGCTCAGCCCTATCTACTGTGATTGCACTCCTAAACGTCACAACAAACGTCTCTGCGATTGTCCTAGTATGATTTGCCTCTAAAAAACGTCTATTTAAGACCCTAAACTGTTGTTCTATCTTCTATGTATCATTAATAATGTTTCAATTTCCGAATATAATATACTCCATCTTAAAATAAGTTTTGTTTTTGGTACCAGTGTATTGTCCTTATGTAGTTTCCTTGCATCATAGCGTTTTTTCTTCTACTCAAGAACTCGAGTTGGCTGACGGAGGATGTTGCCGCGCTAGATAAGGGACTTCAGAAACTATCCCAGAAATATCTTCACCTATAGTCACTGTGTTTCCAATTGAAGCTGCTTGTTTCTTGATGTAGCCTAACCCGAAATGACCAGACCCGTCTCTTCCTCTAGTGTAGCTCGTTAGCTTCCCGACCTGAAAATAGAGTTTATAAACTAGTTAAGGAATGTAAAACAAAATTTGGCTTTTCTTCTTTGTTTTCGAGCGACAAAGGTATGCACACAAGCGCTCAAAACCTTTTTCCCGTCGACAATGATGGGGCTGCCGGGTTCCGCTGGTGCAGAGAGATTAAGTCCACATAACCTTTGCTTGATTCCATCATATGTCATTAGTCTTGCTATCGTCTCCTGTCCCTTATAACATCCTGAGATGTTTGAAGATTGTTTACTCTAGGTGTTTCTTGTATCGTTTTAGTTCACTGAACAAAAGCTTCTCAAATACCTTTGTTCAGAGAAATCGAGTTCCATAGACCCGCCTCCAAAACATTATATTCCTTGCTGAGTTCTCTCTCAGGTGCTGGTCTTCCTGCAAAACATCAATGCTTTTGGCCTGAGAAACATATCATTTTCTCTGCTTATTCACTAAATCAATGGTTCTGTAAGATCTAACAATTCTGATTTCGCTAATGGCAAGTAAAAGATCAAAGAGCATACTTATGAGCTTTTTGCCTATATGACGTAAATCTCGACCAATCATGCCTTTAGTAGGACTAGTGGCCACAACCTCATGACATTAGATTTTGGAGGTTACGGGTGATAGTCATGTCATCAGTGCAAACAAATCAAGAAACACCTATGGCGCCTGCATTTGGACAATAGTTTTACTAACCTTGAGTGATTCTAAGTTTTTCCCAGGCTACAGAACCCATTGGAATGGCACCTTCAGCTAAAAGGGTCTTCCAGACTGAAACGGCACCCCCTGGCGACATTAACATGGTAAAGCCTTCATCTGAAATCAGACTTCCGACCCCAACTGTTATTGGCATTCCATCAAACTGACATAGAGAGGAGCTTGTTACTACATGTCGCTTCCCAAGATCTGTTTCGATATTACAAAAAAAGACTTACACTATAATGCTGATGCTTGCCATATGGCTGCCCAATAAGATCTCCCAGATTCAGTTTAGATATGATCTGTTTCAAGTGTTTTTACAGTACCAAAATAATGTAATTGAACTACCATAAACACTAAAACAGAGAAAATTTTACAAGAATTTGTCAGTCTGCTTAAAGAATAAATCTTACTTGGTTGCTTTTGGGTCCAGCTAAAGCAAATAAGCAAGTTTGCTTGGTGATGTCCTTGATCTCTACCTTGTCAGCAAAAAAAATGTACCTGAGAAGACAAAGATGAGAAAATAAGTGATGTCATGGTTCTCCAACGAAACCAGATTTTCAAAGAATCCATCAAACTTTTGTATGTGAACAAGGATGAAACGTTTTAACATACTTGTTCAGCATCTCAATTATGCTTTGGCATGTCGTTGGAGAAACCGTTAGCAGTATTGCATTTTTCTGGAAACCAAAAAAAAGAGTCTGTTAAAGATAGAACTTGCATATAAAATATATGGAGCCACTAAAAGTGAACCCAAACTTATCTTACTCCCATAAGGAAGGAGTATTATTACCATGATCCATGCATGTGCAATATCTATCGTCCGTGCTGTTGGGGTAACGAACACAGTGTCACATCCCTTCAGAAACGAGCAAATAGACCCACAAGTGGTTACCAATCACAGAGATGACAATATACACTCAATGCAAATATCCCTAAAAAGACTCACCTGTCCTTCATTAAGGCTTTCAAAATTCGCAGTAGTTTGGTTGTGAAGGAAATGAGCGCGGTCATCTCCACTAACTTAATGACAAAGAATGTAGCAAATAGTTAAAACAACAAACATAAGGTAGTATTCATAAGCAAAATCAGAGCATAAAGCTAAGCAAATTAGAACCAATTCAATGTCGAAAAAGCACGATAAGACAATAGATAAACAAGGATATATAGTACCTCGAATTCTCCCAAAATGTGAGAGATCCACAACCTATAAATCAAGTTTTGATCAAACAAAAATCATAATGCAAACAGCCAAAGAGCTTCAGAGTTAAGTTACATACCACAACACCATTATCAAATGCATCCAAAGCCTCATCGTCGTTATCAAAACTCTCAACAATACCATCTTCAGAAACTTTACCTCCAGCAACACTAATTGTATCCTTTACAAGTCCATAATAAAGAAATGCATTAGCATATTCATACTTACTACTCAGAAACATCCAATTCACAAGAAACATAACTAAATCCAAAAAAATTCCAATAACTGTTTAATAGAGCTAAGACATTAACACTTTGCTACTAAAGAAATTGTAATTCTCAGTAGCAAAGAAAGTGAAGATTACAAGGAGATCGTGATCGATTGGAGGCGGAGAGAAATCAAACTGCAACGAATCGGAAGAAGCAGAGACGCATCGGAGCTGAAACTTTCGTTGTCGGAAACAACTATTTCGGAGACTGAGGGAGCGCCGGCGAAGAACTGTTCCGTTGTAAAGACATGGAAGCAGAGCAGTATTGGTGATGTGGCTCACGCAATCTATCCTCATCATCATCGCCATGTCCGTACAACTCTTGACAAGGTTCATATAAAATTGAGAGAGGTTATTATTTATTATTTATCCGCATATATAATTCTTATCTCTGATTGGCTAATTACTAATTACTAATCACATTTTTATGAATTTCACCACACCTATTTTTCTGATAAAATCCTTATATAGCAGCGTTTATCTGTGAATACTGAATTGTAACAAATAACTGATAATTAATGTTACACATTAAGTCATCAATCTAATTTTATATGAATTAATATACAACTAACATCATTTTATGGATGAATTAGCAAAAATCAAATAAATAGTAATGCTTTACACTTTTACAGACTATTTTTACATTTGTAAATTCATATTTTTTTTTCAATAAAACAAAAACATAAAAGCCACCTCGATGAGGGCAAAGTGAAGTCTAATTTCCTTAAATATAAACCATATTTTTTGCTAAATTCAAGAATCAATGTCATATACATTGCTTTACCAACCTTTTTTTTCTCTCCTTTTTACCAATTTTTGATTACCTTGTTTAATATCTCAAAAGCTAGTCTCTTTTGGCCAGTGACTATACAAGCAAACAAGGAACAAAAAACCAAACGCCAAAAAGAAAATACAAAATATACAGCAAACAAAGGAAGAAACTTTTAATCAACTGAAAGAGGATCATGATGCGGGTTTTGAGGTGTAGTATCTGCAAACACTTGCGCTTCTTCTTCATCTCTAACATCTCTAAACATCGAGAGAAACGAGTTAAGTCCTTCTGACGAAGCACCGCCTAAAATCCATAGCAGCATCGAACTGAATGAGCTCATTGCGCCTGCTTGCTGGTTGTTAGGCTCTGCAGGAATGGTGTTTGCTGCATTCTCTTCTTGCTGCTCTTGATGTTGTGTTGGATTCCTGACACCTCCTCCATCTGCTGTTGGAGATCTTGTTTCCGTGTTTTGGTTTGGGGTTGTGTTGTTTGGACCAGATGGAGATCGGTTTCTTGTTGTTCTGTTCAGCCTTGTGATGTGAAGAGTTGATGCTAGGATTGTTGAAGAAGTGATGTGGAAGTCTGGGTGTTGCTGTAGGTGTGACTGTCGGCTTTGAAGGAATCTCTGAAGAGCTGGTACCTGTAATTTTGTGTTTAATATTGAGATAAAAACTTTGAATTGAAACTTAGCTTCTCTGGATTTGGCCAATCTTCGAGTTGCTGTAATCAAACGTTTACCTCAAAACGGTTCCAGAAGTATAGAATTAGGTGTTGCATGAATGCAGCGGTTGTCATTAGGGCGAGATAAGAAAAGCCTGTTTAGAGTTACGCGGTAAGTGAAAGCGTCTGAAATTTCAGTACTTAATTAGACAAATATAAGGTAAAACCTCAGTTCTTACCATATGCATACGAGAAGAAATAAATATGGAACACCAAGAAGTACAACAAGAAGAAACGCGGGAAGAACTTCATCGATATTGGTGTCCTGACACTGCAATATTGGGAAGATAGGACTTTGTTACTATTCCATTGAACAGCTAAAAACACACATAATCTGAACTGGCAGCGAGATCATCATAATAAATAAGGGAGCTCAATAGTGAATAAACAGGTGACTGAGGCAAAAGAGGAGACCAAAAACCTTATCAGGGTGAATAATTCGCATAGCCAGACAAGAACCAGAACCATGAAAGCCAATAGCTGATCGTCGTAAAACTCAAACAGGAAGAACAGAATCCCAATCATAATCTGCAATTTCAAATAGTTATATCATGTCGGTCAACAGAATCCTCTGAAATCTTGGAATGAAAAAGCAGCGATGTGTATGCATACTGGTACAAAGACAAGCGATTCGATCACGTGTACGAAGATCAACTGAAATGTTGGTAACCGATGCTGGGCATGGTGTTGAAGCTGCACTGCAACAAATTGATATCGAAACAAAGATTATTGTTGAGAAGCAAAGATGGGAAGCCATTAGCTATTGGAATAGAAGAAATACAAACCTGTGAACTTTAACATGCGAGTTTGTGTCTCTCGCAATGTGAATGACACAGACATTGTGGTTGTGAAAAACACAAAAAGTGACATCATTAGCACACCACATTTCGTTACCAAGTAATCTGCATACACCCAGAACAATAATATTACTATTAAAGTAAATGCTTACACCAAACTACAGATAAAGTTCCAAGAGCTAATAAAGCAGCCTTGGTGAGATCTTGCAATCTAATATAACGCTCATAACCGATAGACTTGCGAGATGTAAGGGAAAGTTTTCAACATATGCTGTTCACGTGAAAGAAAATGACAAACCTCCGAATTGCGCAGAACCTTCAGGAAGTTCTTGGGAGTAACTGAGATTGTAAAACTCTCTTGTCTGGTAGTTGTATAGATAACCTGTAATGGAGGAAGTTGGCAGTCATATGGGTGCAAACTGCAGCTTTCACAATAGCACATAGATAGAAACAATCAAAGGGAAATAAGCAGCAACAACGACAGATGGAAATATCATGTAATAGCTACCAACAACGACATTGGTTATTTTACATTTTGCATAGTCATGCATGAACCAATTGATTGCTGCACACTAATCTCGGAGTAGAATTCCAAGAGATAACTTAGTTCAAATTTACAATTAGATAAACAGGCAACCTCTGTTTAGTGGTAGCCTAACCTTTCAGAAAGAAACAGTTTGCCCACAATATACAAAAGAAAAGACAAACACATAGTTGAGGAATCACAGGCCTCAAAGGAAGAGACCCACACATAGTAAAACTTGCATGGACATTATCAACAAGACAAACACCTATTACCTACCTTGACCAGCAGAGTTCTGTAAGCTATTCATTATAATAGTATCATATCCTACAACTCTGTTTATAAGAAGTTGCTGCCACCTGAAAAAGTAATCCAATTTTAAGAATCTTATCATTAGGATACAGCCCTAGCAATTAAAATAACTATTTCCAAAGTCCAAATTGAGGGCCAATAATGTGAATATTACCTGTTCCCAAAGCAGGGATGCCGTGCCGATATGCTGACATTTGCAGTGCGAATGTTATGCCGTGATTTTGCTTCATCAGGCAGCAAAAAGTAACCCTATGTGAAAAAAGAACAACGCAATTCTGAGACCGAACCAGAAGTTCAACCGAAGAATTCCTCATTTCACATCTTTCTTTGATAAGTTGAGAGAGAATAACGTTTACCTTTTCCATGGTATATAGATATGTTGGCTCAAACTCTTGAGTTTTACTCTCAAGCCACTGAACTGAAAAAATCAACAAACAGATAAAAACGTAGCAGTTCAGATAGACATCTCCCCACCCAAAGCAAAGCAAAAAGCCAAATCTGTGTGATTTTACTCTTCTAATAGCTAAACCTCTCACATGTAAAATCGTAAAAATGTTATTAAGAAGGGGCCCGTTGACACAAAATTTATTTGGTGGTTTGCGTAGCCTCAAAACAAGGAATAATTTTCAAAAAAGAAATGTAATGTGTTCAGATTCATTTTACATTGTGTAACCGGTCATCATTGTTTGATGGTTCATTCAGATGATGAAGAACAAAAAAAAAGTAAAGACAAAATAGAAATTCTATTGAGGTGGCTTTTACCTGCATAGTAGTTGACTTTATCCATATACAGTACATGCAACAATTTGGGCACATCAAGATTCAACGGTATGCCGATGATGTTCTGCATTTAAATTTGAAGAGCAAAATAATTTGTTTTAGTAAAAACTAAAAATATAAACAATCAGGATTGTAACCCATCAGATGACCTAAGTACTGGCACCAAAAACAGATATCACCAAAAAGCTAAATTAGTAGATAGACCTAAGTCCATTTTCCTCACAAAATAAAGGGAGAAGCTACTGAAAAATCTCCACACCCTAATGATTGAGCCACGTGCCAGTTAAATTTTCACTAACATATATTTCCGATCAAAGGAACGCCGCTTAAGAACCATGCTTTATAAGTGATATACCAAAAATATCCAACGGAAACCTCGCAGAGGAGATACAACATCTATATATGACAGCCATACGCACTATCTAAGTCAGAATTTGAGAAAAAAAAGGAAATGAGATAACTCACCCATATTTTTCGAACACCTCTGAGGATCCGTGCTGTATGCTGTAAAACGAAAGATATGCGCCTATAACACTTTTTGAGAAAGCGAAGAAGAGCTGCTCTGACATTCTCTTTTGCAGACACTGAGAAACTACTGCGGGGCTCTTCCTTATCAATTTTCACAAATATATCATCGGCATTTTCTTCACTGGTAGAGCTTTCTACATGATTGCAAACAAGGCAGTATCAGTCCCTGCAAACTTTAAAGATATTGAGCTCCTACCAGCAGTCTATCCAAACCAATTCACCCTCTGCCCACTCATGAATATAAACAATCACCTTGATCAGTCTTTGAGACTTCTAAACTATCAGTTGCAGCTACAACTCGAGGAACATCTGCAGCAGTACTTTCATCATTACGTGACCACAACCCTGCACTTGTTATCTATATCACAGAAATCAGATGGTTCGAGAACTAAGGATGAGTACAGATTTTATTTATGGCTAACTGATTTCAAGAAAGAGACTTTCAAAGTACGAGTGAGGAACCAGATCAAAGGCCTGGAAAATCTAAATTTTTCACTAATTATGCAAGCTAGCATCAGAAGGACAGAAGGGATAACAGCCACATACCTTAATTTGCATAAGCTCTGCTTCAGCTAACTCAACTCCAGTCAGCTCACTAGAACAACCAGGCTTTCCAAGAAAACAAGATTAATGAAATTAGTTAGAGAGGAACAATTAAGGTCAGATAAGAGAAGCTTAGGAGAGTCTAGCAAGAAATATCTTAGGAAGGCATACAGGCTACACGAAACTCTTAAAGTCGAAGAGAAGTAAACCAACAGAAAATCTTCACAGATAGATGATTTTTGACGTTTGCAATCTTAGAAGTATTCAAATGCATTTGCATAGGCAGTATTTCCTACTGGAAATTTCACATCAAAATAAACACATAAAGAAATCAGAAAAGTGTCTTTCAACAGATTCTATATAATTATGACCAGTGCAACCTTAGTAAAGATACAAACAGTAGTGTCTCCTAACGAAGCTCATGCCAACATCTTCTATAAAACTAACTTAAGCTCCACAATTCATATCAGACTACTCGAGAAAATGCAACGAAGTTAACATAACACAGACAATCTACATCATCCTTTTCAAATTATAGTATCTCAGACTTAAATTTCAACCACGAAGTCATTAACCAAAAGTGGCTAACCCTAGAGAAACCTTTTCTCATAATTACATAAAAACGAGAGTCAAAAATTTACCTGCTGAACATAATTGGCGTGCATAACAACGAGGATACAGAACAAAGTGATGGCAACGAAGAGGTAAGTATACTCTAAGAAACCTCTAATCCTTGGCGTTAAGATCTGCGAAAACCTCTCCTGAACCCTAATAAACGTCTGCTCCGGATCCATATTGCGAATCTCCGATGCACTTCTCCGTCTTCTTCGTTAAAACTACGTCGTCATCGAATTTGAATTGCTCCGTAGCAAGAATCGTAGATCGTAGATTTCTTCTCGTTCTGGGAGATTATCGAATCCACAGCAATTAAGGATTGAAGATGATTGAAAAAAGCACCGCGAAGCAAATTTTACACTCGTTTGCTAATAAATTACTTTTGTGTTCTTCGAAATTCTAAAGCGGTTGTGGCGCAATTGGGAGTGTTAGGTTTTTGAGACTTCAATTGCTTCGAGGACACGAGTTCGACACTCCCACACCTTTACACCAACATAAAATTCTCATTTTCTCTTGATTTTTTTTTAAACTAGTGTACTTCAATAAATGTAATTCCATGAAGAGAAATTCATAACATTATCCAACTTTAATACAATCACGAGGAATTAATTTAGTAGTCAAATTCTTAACCATTTGTAGAGAATATGTGCTCATTACAATCTCTCCTCTACCTTGATTTAGCTCAACTGAGACCTGCCTTGTCCTTTAGAGGCTTGGTAGAAACGCATCAAACGACACCGTGTATTCATGAAACTGCAAACATCAAAGACAAGGCTCAATAGATAGATATATCTTACAAATAATCTAGAACAAGCCTATTGTTTTGATAGATCTGCCTTATTTTGGCGGAATTCACGAATCTATGCAAGTGAAAATAACTGAAACGAAAGAAACCTGCTTCACGATCTCTTCATATTTAGTGGCTAGTTGTTTTACTTTAGCTTCTCCTGACTGTCTCACCTGGTTAATCTTGGCATTATTGTCATCAACCTGTTGATATATAATACAAAGTAAACTTATGGCGATGATAAGCATCGTGCACAACAGATTCATCTTGTTAGATGATCAAAAGAAAGGGAGCGGAGCAATACCATTGCTACTACTGATTCAACATTGGTTTGCCTGGCTTCAAGTTCACGTCTTCTGGATTCAACCTCCACTTTTAATCCATTCAATTGTTTTGTCCACTCATCAAACATGACTGCTTTTTCTTTCTCTAGTTGTTTCAATGATTCGTTCAACTGTTCCACTGTTGACAGAATACAAGATTACAGTCTCTGTCCCAAGACAAAATTACGAAACTATATCTGATGAGGGAAGAAATTAACCAAGACTTGCCTATTCTTTCCCGCTCAACCACTTTCGCCTCAAGTGATATGTACGCTACTCCTTCCTCGCTCAGCTTAGCTTTAAGAGCTTTGAATTCTTTCTCAACTGCTTTCGCATTGGTTACCTGTAACATCATCAAACATACATAAAATTGAAAAATAAATCTAAAGACACATTAGATCTCATTCCGATAATTGGAAGTGTCTGTGTGTTGCCACATGCTAGAGATACAATACATGGTTCACAATCTACAACAATGAAAGAGGAAATGAGTCTTTTTGATTGGTCACCTGTTCGTTAATTAACTTCAGTTGCGAAGATGACTTTGAAATTTTCTTGAAAGCCTGCAAGAGGCACCCATAGTTGATGGTAAACTTATTTAGCTCAAAAAATGAAAGCAAAAATCTGTTGGAAGATTAAACATAAAAACATTACGAAGTAACAACATAGGATAAGGTCTCAATCTAAATAATGTCCACCTTTGGATTCACTCTCATCCACTATACACCAAAATAAATGAAGTTCTTCCTAAAGCTTCTGGACAGAATTTCGTGATGTATGAACAAAAGTGATCAGCGCAATAAACACCAAACTTAGAAGAATAATGCTTGGAATCCTCATTCTCTAACCAAATGGTTTGAGAGCAGTATCTGCAGTGACCTAAGACTTGTAATTTCAAAAAGTTAACCATCAAGTTGCAAAGGATGTCCTAAATGCATTTAGCTACGTGCTAACCATAAGATTTAGTAATAATCTAGAGTTTTCATTAGATACCTTCTCATAAACCTCAAGAATGGCAGCCTTTTCCTGGAAAGATCCCATTGCTGATTGTTCAGCTTTCTTTGTCTCCCCAAGTACTAGTTTCTTCTCTTCTAAAGCTCCCTATCTCCACAACAAACGTTTAAACTTGTGTATAAACAAAATTTTATCTTAGGACTAGTGCCAGTAGGAACAAAAATATACCTGCAATTTGTCTGGAGATTGAACAATTTGTGCGCGGAGGTTTGCGTTTTCTTGGACAGTTTGCACAAGGTCAAACTCTGCTGTGGAAATCTGTAGAGAGAAATACACATGTCAGGAGCAGAAAACGTCTCTCAAATTCAAGCATATGCAGATCGCCTAATTGACAAACGGTTTCTTCACCAACTTGATCCAGGTAACTTCATAATAAATTAAATCACATAACACAATTTAGTTTCAGGAAGGAGCTCGACACCATGTCATGCGGTTCCTTACCTCCTTATCCATCTGTGTACTCTTATCTCTCATTTTCTGGAAGGTAGCTCGCAGTGACATCTGCTGATTATTTAGTGCTAATATTTTCTGATTCAGTTCTTGAATGTTGGCTTCTAGCTCTTGGACGAAAGGTAAATCCCTTTCAACGGCTTCATCAAATTCTCCAATCTCTGCATTCAACTGTAAGTATAGCTTTTAGAAAAAGATAATGACTATCTTCTATGGAATACATTTATTTCTTGCATTACCTGAGCAACCTTTGCCTCCTCCTGCTTCCGCTGCTCATCAAGGATACTCAACTCTTCTGCCATTGGTCTTATAAGTTCCATTTTTGAATCTCTAGTACGAAAAGAAGATGCAAATAATCATGAGAGCGTCATTATTGAAATTGAGATAGTTGTACTCTTGTTTCCATCTCCAAGTCAAGTGGGACAAATAAGAACTCGTCTACTCAAAGTAGAAACCTGGTCAAAAGGTCTTGGTGCATCCAAATAGAAACTAGAGAGAACTCCAGCTAACTTGTATAGAACATAATTCAAAAGATTATAAGCAAGAAGGACATACTTGTATAGAGCAAAATTCAAAAGTGCGCTGATGAAAAACTCGGTTCGGGATGATTCCGGGCGTAACAAATCCTTGAAATTAATGGCTAATGGACAACCAACCATATCTAACATATCTTTCACTTTGCAATAAAGTGTCATAGATTGCATTGAGGTGGCATGATGTTCTGGATTCTCCAGTTGCTCCAAAGCCCCAAAATCAACTTGCCCAGTCTCTTCTCTACAATGGATTTGATATTGGAAAGACCCAATGTCGAAAACGAAGCATCATTAGAAATTCCCCAAATTGCAAATTTTTAGGGTTTTCAAAATTACTTAGCTCGAAATCAGACAAAACCGAGGGTAAAATAGAGTGAAGAGCAAAGAGAGGGTTTAGAGGAATACATACTCGTTGAGAACGTCGAGATAGATAAGAATTCTTGTGTAAAGCTCGGAGACGAAGTCGGAAGTTGGGTTTTTGAGATCGGTCTCTGTAACGCTAGCGATCTGAAAATCCTTGAGGGCCGTCAAAATGTCGGAACGAGAGAGCCTCGGGTACTCGTAGGCTGACATAGTTTTCAGTTTGGTTCAGGTTTCGATTTTTTGTGTCTGGATTCGAAGAAACTGAGAAGAGGAAATGGCAATTTAGGAAGAAATCAAAAAGAATAGAGAACTATTTTCCCGCCTATACGAAACTGCAGTCTGCACATAAATCCGAAGATACGGTAGAAGCTTTAAATGAACAAAGAGGTTTTAGAGAATTGTTTCTGAAAACTCAAGGATTTATTTCATATTTGTACTTCAAAAATGCATAAATAGATTCTTATGTTTACGACTTTTTGATTTTTTTTAAATTTCAGTTTTAATCATAGATTATTTTAAAAATTAAAATTGCCAATGTTTATGTTGTGATTTGAAGGTAATAAAAAGTGATTTATGCAAAAAAAAAGTTAAAAACTCATACTTAATAACATCCATAAGACTTGATCATCATCACAGTACACTTAAGGAAGCAGCAAAGATTCATAAAACACATTCTTAATAACATCCATTAGACTTAATCCTTCGTCACTATTAGTAAACATGGAAACAGAAACATCATCAGATGGATAAAACTCTATGATGATTAAAGAAACCTCAACGATGACTTTAAAAAGCTACTAAGAAGCTGAGAGAGGGATTGGTTTCACAGCGCTCTGAATCCGCTCAAAAGCTACTCTTACTCTTTCCTTAAGACCTGAATGCTCACTCTCTACCTCTCCACTCTCTTTATCGAGCTGAGCGACATTGCCATCGACCCTAATCACAAGTTTCCCGTTCTCACCTAGTTTCACATCCCCGAAGAGCGACACAAGAAGTGCGTATATCACTTTCTCAACTTTCTTCCCGTTCTCTTCCTCGGATTTCACAGCATCTTCTTCTTCCACAACGATCTTGGGGACTTCTCGGCTGATGTTGAGAATCAGAGCTACAATGGAGTCTGAAACCATGTCACTTATCGGATCTGATGACCACTGAAGTGAGACATGCTTCTCTGACTCTTGTTTCACTGTTACTCTTTCATGTACTTTCAGTGCTGGAAGCCCTATGTCCTCATCTGTTAAAGATTCCACGCTCTCGAAAATCTTCTCGAGGCGATGTTTTATCACACCGAAAGCTCCTACAAATGGGATTGTAATCCGCTGAGTTACAGTTGCTGTTGATAGCTGTGAGAAAACATGGAGTTCATCAGGTGCCATTATCTGATAAGTGAACCCTTTCTTCACCAGAATCCCGCTCACTGTATCGCCAACATCGGGTGTCTTTTCCGCCAATCTCCCAATGGTTTTCGCCAATTTCTCTGAATTAAAATACATTTCAACGGACTCACAGTTCTTCGGGGTCATGATCTTTGTGTTTCCATCGGGAAACTCCGTGAAGAGCTTCTGTTTGAGCCTCATCATCTCGTTAGCTTCACCGTGAACAAGGATGATGTTAGGAGGCATGAGCTCTTTCAAGAACGTGCTCGTCTGCGCGTAATCCGCGTGAGCAGAGAACGAAATATAGTGCACTTGCATGTTGAGCGGAGCAGTAAGACCATTCATAAGAGTCACCTCCTTCGGTTCATTAATTATCGTCTTCGCCAGTGTACCTTCCACCATATAACCCGGTATGATACAAGCGTTTTTCTTATCTGAACACCAGCTGTCAAAGAGTTGCCTTGAGAGACCGCTTTGAAGACCTCCAGGAGTAGCCATAACCACAGATGGACCGACATCATTAAAATCATCGATGCTGTTTAATGGAGAAATGTGCTTGAACACAAACGGATTAGAATTTGCAAACTGGTTGCGAATTCTGTCGTTCATAGATAATATGTAGGTTTGGTAAACCGCCATACACTTTTTGGCGAGCGGTGATGCATAGTAGATTGGGATATTGTGTAGATCTGGGTGGTTCGCCCAGTATTCATCTAATATCAAAAGAAGTTCTTGAGCACGGCCCAGGGCAAAAGCCGGGATCAGCACACGTCCGCCCTGAGCAACCGTTGAATGGATTACATCAGTGAAGCGTTTCTCACGAATATGACGAGATTGATGAAGCTGGACACCAGAAGTGGATTCAATGATGCATATGTCAGGGGAGAATTGAGGAAGCTCAGCTGCTCTCAGATGTCGGTCTTCCTCCCGGGAATAGTCGCCTGTGTAGAGGATCCGGACACCAGCTATATCCACCATAAACATGGCTGCACCCAAAACATGACCTGCTGTGTAACACCAGAACTTTATGCCGTTTACTTCAACCGTTTGATGGAAATCAATTACCTATAGAGGAAATCAAACATAAACCATAACTCATCAATCCCTGTCTTGAAGCCAATTTAATTTCTTTTGAACTTATACCGAACCCAATGGAGTGGTTAAAGTATAAACATAGTCATATGATACAATGCACTACTAACCTCAATTTTGTCCATGGACTTGTTGATATCTTGTTCATCGAACAACATATCTTCCACAGACACTTTGCTCACTTTTACATAATCTGTAAGCAACAGCTTGTAGATGGCCTTTGTTGCATGTGTCATGAAAACCCGCCCATTGAATGTCGTCTAATCAAACATCAATAACCTGATTTAGTTCCCAGCTATGTTCTAACACATCAACAAAACAAAATCATTCAGAAAAGAGAAACAAACCTTCTCCAGAAAATAAGGTAGGGATGCTGCATGATCTATATGAAAGCTACAAGGGAAAACAACAACCCATTGTTTGTTATCTTAAACCCAAGAAACCTCTCACAAAAAAAAACACTAACTCTTTCAAGTAGACAAACAGACACAAAGAACAAACTCTAGCCTCCTACAAGTTTTTGAACTAATCCAAGAAAGTTTGGCTCTAGTAGCCTCCCAATTTATCTCTTTAGATGAGAAAGATTATAAACATTCATAAATCAACTTCAAAGTTTCTCTTTTTCTTAATGGGTATTAGCCAAAAGAGGAAGAAGAAGGAAACATACTGAGTAATCAAGAGAACATCAATGGAAGAAGGATCAATCTCGTCGAAGTAAGGCAACGCAGCCATGCCTGAGTACGCAGGATGAATCCCACAATCAAACTGCACAAACACAACAAAACAACCAAAATCAAGACTAAGAATATGCCCCAAACACCCAAATCAAACACATTTGCAAGATTAGAACAAAATGGAGAGAAACAGACCAGAATATTTTTGCCTCTGAAGGACATGTAAACACAGGAACGACCCACTTCACTTCCGGCTCCTAAAGGAGTAACGATAAGTTGATCTCCATCTCGAGAAATTGGTTGCTCTCTTCTTTTCAGAGATGCAGAAGAAGAAGCCATGTTTCGTCTTTCTCGATTCTTCCCAGAGAAGGAAACTCACAAAGAACTGTGGAAAGAACTTCCAATCTTCGAAGCACAAGTTTTGGTATAAACCCTAAAGGCCTAAAAGGCTAAAGAAAAAAACAAAAAAAAAACGACCACAGTGGGAGTCGAACCCACGACCTTCTGATCCGAAGTCAGACGCGCTAATCCACTGCGCTATGCGGTCAATACATGTCAAGATATGACATTAATCTATAAATACTTGATAATGTTATATACCGAAAATACCCTTGTGTTGATTTTGTCATTTAAAAATCTGTGAAAGAAGAGAAAATTTGGAAGCTTTCTTTCTCGGCGATGATGGAGCGAACTTACGGCCGTCGCAAACCGGGGTTGTTAAACGACGACGTTTCGCAGGCGGAGTATCTTTTTTCGTCTTCTTCATCACCAGAACTCGACCCACTTGATTTCTCCACTCAAGAGTCATCTTGTCTCTGGAATTATTCTTCAAGATCCAATTTTTCGGATGATGATTTCTCTCAGAAGAGGGCTAAGAGACCCAGAAACGGTAGTGGAGCGTTTGGTTTGAATTCGACTTTGATGGAGACGCAAGAGTTCGGCAAGTTAATGGAGAATGAGGACGAGGTTAACTTCGCTCTTGATGGGTTGAAGAAAGGACATCAAGTTAGGATCAGAAGAGCTGCTCTGTCTTCTCTACTCTCGATTTGCGAATCTCAATATCAACGACGCTCTTTAAGAGCTTTAGGGTACGTCTGCTTATTTACAATTGCTTTCCTTTTTCTAGGGTTTGTTCATTATCGAATCATAGGATATTGTTATTGCAGGACCTCACAATCCATAATCGATGCAATTTTGGGTCTTAGTCTTGATGACATACCAAGCAATCTTGCTGCAGCTACCCTTTTCTTTGTGCTAACTACTGATGTAAGTAACTTATTTGCATTGTGAAATATGCTTGTGATGCTCTTTTCTCTTGATTCATTGGGATTTTTCGCTTGTTTACTAGTTTCTATGTTCATGATTCTAGGGTCAAGATGATCACTTTATGGAGTCACCCAACTCTATCAAGTTTTTGATCAAGCTTTTGAGACCTGTGGTTTCCGCCAGTACTAAAGGGAAGCCGCGGCGGAATATAGGATCTAGGCTCTTATCAGTAATCAAGGATGTTGATGCCGCACGTGATTCAGGCAGTATGCATGATTCAAGCTCCTGTGATATACTGGACAGAGCCCAGGAGATTCTTGTTAATTGCAAGGAGTTGAGATTGGTTGATGGCTATAAAATCGAGAGGATGAGGCCTGAGCTAAGTACGAAATTGGTAGCTTTGTTGGTGATGGAGAAGGCGTGCTTGTCCAAAATCTCTTTCGATGGTACGTGAACTCCCTGTCTATTTTGTTGAAATAGTTAACAATGACTAGCTAACTATTTAAAAGGCATCTGCTGTGTTTTATTTACTTCCAGTGATTCAGTTTGACAAATGTGTCAGTGGTAGTAGATCCTACGACAAGATTATAATTGATCGATATTGTTTCTAATTATTTATAGTATTCTTCCCCATCCAGATAGCTCTGGTACTGTGAAAAAATCTGGAGGAATGTTCAAGGAGAAACTGCGAGAACTTGGAGGACTTGATGCAGTCTTTGATGTTGTTATGGATTGTCACTCTGTAATGGAGGTGTGAACCTGTATGTTTTGGGGATCTTGCTATCTCCGTCTTTATTATCAGCATAAGTTTCTTTTCTATAAGATAAGAACTCCCATCTTTGTTTGGCTAGGACATCAATAACTTGTGTAAATTGTCGTAGATTGTTAGCTTAAGAATTTTTTGGGTATCCTCAGGATCATATATCATTTCAATGCAAGTCAAGGTTCTTTACTTGTCCTTCGCTAAAAAACAGAATTCTCTTGTTGATGTAACACAGTTTAATGTTACTGTGACTGCCCATCATTCGTTTGTTGTGGACAAGTTGGATTTCTGTCTTAGTGTTGGCAAAGACTCTGTACTTAAGTTGTCAATGGTTACTGGACCTTTGCAATTGTATTTAATAAGAGTGTCTAATGCATATCTTGTTTGCAGAGCTGGGTGGCACATGACACACTCTCTGCCGAGGATATAAAAGATGATTTGAATAAGCAGAATCTGATTTTGCTTCTGAAATGTCTAAAAATCATGGAGAATGCTACATTCCTCAGCACAGAAAACCAGGTAGCTTTTAATTATTTTGGATCCCCTGCCTCATGATAGCTTGTACTGAATAGCTCTGCAGTCTGCACCTGAAAAAATAACTGTAAATAATATTTCTTTCAGATTCATTTGCTCAGATTTAATAAAAGTATGGGTTCTCATGGATCCCGACTGTCTTTCCCAGAGCTCATGATAAGCGTCATCAAAATACTTTCAGGTACACAGTACCTATTTTTGGATTTTACCATGACTTCCTTCTGATGTTATCATCTCTTATTCTGATGGCTGGTTGGAATGATTACACCAGGTCTTCAGTTACGTGCTCACAGGAACGAAAATCATCCTCACCCTCAGCCACATCTATCTTCTGTTGTTAACAAGAACTTTGTGACAATTATTAGTTCAGATACTTGCTCTACCACTAGCTGTAGCTCCATAAAAAGTTTAAGCGTATCCAAGAGAAATCAGTCTGCATTCCTGTTAGGTTGCTCAACAACACCAAAACCGGGGTCTCAATCAAGTGTAATGTCAACAGTTGATCCCTGCACGCTGACGACTATAGCTGGTTCCAACACTGGGTCGTTTGCAGGCAGGTTAGCCTCATTGGGTAGTGGCATTTCCAGAAGTAATGCAAGGACTTGCCAAACTAGAGAATCCAGTTGTAAACAAGTTGAAAACTTTTCACCCTTCGAGGATAGTCAAGATCCTTTTTCATTTGATTTGGAGGATTCAGGACCTTCCAAATGGGCAGTAGTATTAGGAAAGCAAAAGAAATCTAAAGGTCAAAAGAGGAAGGGAAGCTACAGAGATTATAAAGATGAGCGCTCGCTTCAGCTCTTCTCGAGCCAGGAGGAATCAAACCATGGATTAAATTCCCTGGAAGAATCAAGTGATAGAGATCGCCACGTAACAGAGCAACCTTCTTCAACATATGACATTGATAAAGGATGTCTCTGTCTTTTATCTGATTGCCTTTTAACAGCCGTGAAGGTAATGTATTGTACAGTCTTCTTAACAAATATTTTTCTGTTGTGTAACAAATTTCTGCAGCTGGAATGAAATTATGTTTGGAACAGAATGGAATGTCACCGTTTACGCTTATCTGTTTAGATTTGTGAGGATATCATGTGATCCCTTGCTACTTTCTGATACTGTGAACATATTTTCAGGTATTAATGAACTTAACAAATGATAATTCTGTTGGTTGTCGGGAAGTTGCTGCCTGCAGAGGACTGGAGAGCATGGCTGAATTAATTGTTGGACACTTTCCTTCCTTCACCAGATCTCCGCTTTTCAGTCTGATGGAGTCCGGGACATGCCACCAGAAAGATAAACATCTCACAGACCAGGAATTAGATTTTCTTGTTGCCATCTTGGGGTTACTGGTAAACTTGGTGGAGAAAAACGGAATAAACAGGTACCAAACCCTTTGCTCTTTTCAATTTACATCTTTATGCAAATTGAGGAAAACTTAGTCACTGGTTGTCTTCTATGCAAATTGGGGAAACTCCTGGTTTCATGATATTTATGATCTGACTCGTACCCAATGTCTTGAAAAAATTTCTCTAATCAGTTATTATTTTGTTGTAGGTCAAGGCTCTCTGCAGCTACTGTTCCAATCACTAATCCAGAAGAGTTGCTAGATAGTGAACAAGACATGATTCCTCTTTTATGTTCAATCTTTCTCACCAATCAAGGATCCGCAGACGCCAAAGATGAAACAAGTACTTTCACTTTGGTCAGTATCTAATCATTTTATTCTTGTCGAATTTGAAAGGCCCTTAGAAGAAAGAAGGTCTGAATTAAACCTGTTTCTTCCTCATGTTTCAGGACGATGAAGAAGCTGTTTTAGAAAGCGAAAAGGAAGCGGAAAAGATGATTGTGGAGGCATATTCTGCCCTCCTACTCGCATTTCTATCCACAGAAAGGTTATTTATTTATATCCTCCTTTCTGTCTTTTTATGTATTCTAACTCTTGAAAAGTTGTAACAGAATCTCTTATTCTTAGCAGTAGAAGTATACGAAATGCCATCAGAGATTATCTCCCAAAACGAGACATGGCAATTCTGGTACCGGTGTTGGATAGATTTTTGGTATGTTCCTCTAAACCCTTCATATTTCAGTTTTAGAAATCGATGTGGTATGGACACTGAAACCTTTTGATGCGACCATGTGCTTGTTCCTATTGTGTTAGGCGTTTCATACAACACTGGACATGATTCCTCCAGAAACTCATAAAGCGGTTATGGAAGTTATTGAGTCGTGCAAATTGCCATAGAACAAAAAAAACAGGCGAGATCTTCGTTCTCCTCTCACTGTACAGCTTCTGCAACACTTTGGGTTTGCTCCATACTTATAGTTAGTGATCACACAATGGAACATGTTACATGTATGATATAGACACAAATAGAGTATCTTTTAGTTCTTTCTTTCGAGGTTTTACTTTTCTGGTTTTAGCTTAGGTTAGTAAGTAATTCACATCCCATTCTTTTGTACTTTTTGTCATACAAAGAAAGAACAAACAGATATATAGAAATAGAATAATACTTAATGAGAGTTTATAATACGTATCTTAGTATATCGTTTATTTGTGTTCTCACAAATCACATTTCTTTGATATTCAATCATCAATGTTGGAATTATAAGGCTTATTTTCAATAGAGATAATAATTATACAATATATATACGTAATTATCTATATATATATATATATATATATATATATATATATATATATATGTAATCTCTTAGAAGTTTAGTATATGTGATTTGTTCCGTTTTTAACGAATATTGATTTTTAGTTTTTGCTTTGTTGAATAGAGTTACGGACATTTGAACTTTTTGGATTGAATCAAAACGGATAACGGATCAAAGCGAATTTAAAAAAAAAAAGTTTTCAATCCTAGTTTTGTTGACTTGATCTTCAATCTATATATATATAATTAGAGAGTTCTCTCTCCATCTAATTTTCACCTAAGCAACATTATTTATTGTACATTAAAATAAATTTAAAACATTCATTTAGTGTATATTTATGTTATTCAAAGTTTGGCTTAACCGTTTGGCCATGTAATTATGGAAAGTGAAACAAGATAGCACATTGATGAGTTAGTCGAGAATTCTCTTATGGCACGCTGCACTTGCTTTGATGTGTAAAACAAGCTCGCTAAAACAGTTCTAGCAACATGGTATTATAGATGTACCTTTACGACAAATAATGTTAAATTTTTTAAGGAAATGTCTTCATAGAATGAATAAGAAAGAAATTATTTTAGAGATAAAGATCACGAGATGGTCGTCAATACCGTTTATTCTTCCCGCAAATTTCTTAAATGATTATTGTTACAACTTATATATATCGAACCATTTATTTATCAAGAAAACATCAAAATTTGATAATTTCATAGTTTTGCAAAATTTTGAACCTTCAAGTTTAAGCTCAAAGGTTTTTTTGTTAAAAGAATATTTTATTATTTTCTTTTTTTTCCTTGTTCTAAAGAGAGCAAAGACTACATTCATCATCAGCTCCCTCTCGACAATTCGACATTACTCTTTCCTTCTCCTCCTTTGGCCGCCCGTCGTCGATCTCTGCAACACTTTCCGGTGATTTCTCCATCTCATCTCAAGTGAGTTTCCTTCAACTTTTCTCTTCTTCTTCTTCTTTTCCCTTCCTCTCTCTATTTCCTTTTCTCCGCCTCTAACGGCTTCTGGGATTCTCTGTTTCCGCCGACCTTACCTGCTCGAATCAAATTTTAGATCCGTACGATAAATCGAACGGTCTCGGGCTCTGAATTCGCTAGATTAAGCTCAGAAACTCGGATAGGTTTTCGCAAAACCGCGATTTGGCTTTTGACCTCACCGTTACCTGATTCAAGATTACACCAATTGGTTAGTCCTCTGATTCAAGAACATGAGTCCTATCTGCAACATATTTGGGGAATGAGAGGGAAAAATAGTTAGGGATGTTGGTGCTTATCTATCTAATCTCTCTATAACAAGGAGTTTAATTTGGGGAAAAAGTTGTCCTTAACCCTAATAATGGCTTCTCTAGGGTTAGAATTCAAAAGATAGTTTTTGCTTCTCTAACTGTGAACTTGTAATCATTTTCAGGTGATAGTGAGAACCATTTAAATTCGTTGAAGAAACTCTCGTTTGTGAGCTTCCTTTGATGCTATGGGTGATTTAGAGAATTTGCTTTTGGAAGCTGCTGGGAGAACAAATTCAGCAGGGAGGAGTCGCCATCCTCCATCATCCAGGAGACGTGAGGGTTCTTACTCTGATGGTAGTAGCGATTCAAGGGATGATTCTGATGAAGATCGTGGCTATGCGAGTAGGAAACCGTCTGGGTCTCAAGTACCTTTGAAGAAGAGATTGGAGGCAGAGAGAGAAGATCGAGCTGCTCGAGTTGAAGGTGGTTATGGTGATGGTACATCTGATCGTGAAGGTGACAGCAGCGAGGAGTCTGATTTTGGGGATGACCTTTATAAGAACGAGGAAGACCGGCAGAAGCTTGCTGGAATGACAGAGTTTCAGAGAGAGATGATTCTGGCTGAACGTGCTGATAAGAAAGGTGATAAGAACTTCACTGAGAAACTTAGGTCCAAGAGAGAAAATGAGAAAACCCCTGTTTCTAAAAAGGAGACTCAGCCTCTTCCGGCCTCTCGTGGTGTGCGTTCATCTGCTAGATCTGCAGACAGAGCCGCTGCTAAGGATGATGCCCTGAACGAATTGAGGGCAAAGCGTATGAAGCAGCAGGACCCAGCGGCTCTCAGGAAACTGAGAGATGCATCAAAAGGTGGTTCAGGGAGTCGAGATTTCTCATCAATGAAGAGGAAACCGTTAGCTTCCTCCAATTTGAGTAGCTCCAGCCAAAGTGACAGTGATAGTAGGTCTCAGAGTGATGATGAAGGCTCGAATGCAGGAATGCTAGACAGTGATGATGACAGGTCAGATGTGCCTACGTTTGAGGATGTTAAGGAAATTACCATCAGACGGTCTAAGCTTGCCAAATGGCTAATGGAGCCTTTCTTTGAAGAGCTTATAGTTGGGTGCTTTGTGAGGGTTGGGATCGGAAGGTCAAAGAGTGGTCCAATTTACAGACTCTGCTGGGTGAAGAATGTAGATGCAACCGATCCAGACAAGACTTACAAGCTAGAGAATAAAACTACACACAAGTACCTTAACGTCGTCTGGGGAAATGAAACCTCGGCGGCTCGATGGCAAATGGCTATGATCTCAGATGGTCATCCGCTTGAGGAAGAGTATAGGCAATGGATCAGAGAGGTTGAGCGAACAAATGGTCGCATGCCCACAAAGCAAGATATATCGGAGAAGAAAGAAGCGATCCAAAGAATAAACAGTTTCGTTTACTCTGCGGAAACTGTCAAACAGATGTTGCAGGAGAAAAAATCTGCCTCAGTCAGGCCAATGAATGTTGCGGCCGAGAAAGATCGGCTTAGGAAAGAGTTGGAAATTGCGCAGAGCAAAAACGATGAAGCAGGTGTAGAGAGGATCAAAACGAAAATCAAACAGCTCGACGCTTCAAGGAACAAGAAAGGAGTAGATAAAAAAGCGCTTAAACTTGCTGAGATGAACAAGAAGAACAGAGCCGAGAATTTCAAGAACGCATCCGAGGTCAAATCAATAGCCGCTAGTCTCAAAGCCGGTGAAGCTGGGTATGATCCGTTTTCCAGGAGATGGACCCGATCATCAAACTACTACAACGGGAAAAGCAAGGGGAAAGATGGAGAAGATAACGAGGCAGTGGTTGCAGCAGCTGTTGAAACCAATGGCGCAGATGCAGGAGCAGGTGTTGAAGCGACAGAAGCAGCTTTAGAAGCGGCTGCAGAGGCAGGAAAGCTAATAGACACTAGAGCTCCAATCGGTCAAGGAGCAGAACACAATCAGCTTCATAACTTTGAATTGTCGTTATCCCTAACGGCGTTACAGAAGTACGGAGGACCTCAAGGAGTACAGAAAGCATTCATGGCGAGGAAGCAAGTGACCGAAGCAACAGTGGGATGCAGAGTCGCAGAGAACGATGGCAAGAGACATGGCCTTACTTTAACTGTTAGTGATTACAAGAGAAGGAGAGGTCTTCTCTGATTTCTGGATTTTTTCAAGTCTCAGTGTTTCATTATCTTCTGAAAACTACATCTTGGTTCTTCTCTTCACATTTTTCTTTTGTACTCGCAAAATATGTTTAGCTCAATTTGTTTTTTCTTGAAATATTTTTGTACTTGTTTTTGTGTGAACTCTCCTGATTAGTGTATGACTGCATGAAATTAGAAAATCAAGTCTTTGCTACTCTTAAATCTTAATTAGTGAAATTATTTTGAGCTAATTAACAGGTCAATATTAGTTTTCTTTTGTAGTATTTTAACAAAATATAACAAAAAGAAATATCTAGAATTTATAACATATTAATCATGCTCGTGTATGGATAGTGGACGATAAAAATAAATTACTCATAACACAAATCAAAGAGAAGTGTTGACTTATCATTAAAATCCAATATCTGTCATTGTAATGCACATATATTTTACAGGAATAAAATCCTTTCATATATTAATAATTTTATATCATACTATAAAATATACCATTGAGTTTTAAAATACATTTCAACCACCAACCTTATTATTGCATATGGTCAGTCAATAATTAGTGTTTCAATTGCTCAAGAAACCGATTAAAGTCATGATTGGTCCTAATTGACATTTTTAGCTAGTTACCTTATTGAACTAACTAAAAACCTAAAAGAATACTTTTCTTAATTCTTGAAATTGATACATCAAAACTAGAACTCTATCACACTCTTTATATGATAGTTTAGTAAACTATTCCCACTTATTATAATACTATTTTGTATTGGTGATCTCACTTATTAAAACACACAACCTCTAGCCTTAGAAAAAAATAAAAAAATCTCTTACAGAACAAGTCTGTCTTTTGCAAACATTGTTTGAAGAAAAGAAATCAAATGATGGAACAGAGCAGAAGAACAGAACAAGTTCTGTTAGTGCAGAGATTGAAAAGATTGATAGTCTCTTTTGTTTTTTGTCTACCCATGTCTCTTCTTGGTCTCCTTCTCATGCTTCTCTTAATCTACAACAGCTTCTCTGTCTTCTCTCTTCATCTGGTTCCAACCTCACCTATTCAATCCACCCTTTCACCAACTCATCTTCAGATTCTTCATCATCAGACATCAACATCATCATCTGAGTCAGATTCTTCATTGTTGCTTGTGGTGAAAGAAACCTCTTTAGGGTTCATACAGAAGCAGAACGTTTCGTCGACAAGGACAGAGAGAAAGATGAGGAGATTCAAGAGAAGAACCGAGTTAACTTCTGCGATAACACAGCGGTTACAAGTCAAATCAAGACAGAGATTTAACACGAAGTTCAAGTCTTTCTTGTCCAAATCATCTTGTGAGTCACTCTTCTTCATGACTTGGATCTCCTCCATCGAATCTTTCGGTGATCGAGAGCGATTCACTATAGAGAGTCTCTTCAAATTTCACCCAAACAGCTGTTTGATTTTGGTCTCAAACTCATTTGACTGTGACAGAGGAACTCTAATCTTGAAACCCTTTACAGATAAAGGGCTTAAAGTGCTTCCAATTAAACCTGATTTTGCTTACATCTTCAAAGATACATCAGCAGAGAAATGGTTTGAAAGTTTGAAGAAAGGAAGGTTTAGTCCAGGAGTGATTCCATTAGAGCAAAACCTCTCTAACCTTCTAAGATTAGTCTTGCTCTACAAATTCGGCGGAATCTACTTAGACACAGACGTTATAATCCTCAAATCTCTCAGCAATCTCCACAACGTAATCGGAGCACAAACAGTTGACCCGGTTACAAGAAAATGGAGCAGGCTCAACAACGCGGTGCTCATCTTCGACAAAAACCATCCTTTGCTTAAAAGGTTCATCGACGAATTCTCAAGAACCTTCAACGGTAACAAATGGGGCCACAACGGTCCCTACTTAGTGTCGAGAGTCATTGCAAGAATCAACATTTCCTCCTCTTCGGATTTGGGATTCTCAGTTCTTCCACCATCTGCATTTTATCCGGTGGATTGGACTACAATCAAAGGATTCTACAGAGCGCCCACGAGTGAGACCGAGGCTAACTGGTTGCGGAAGAGGCTTACGCATTTACGCAAAAATACATTCGCTGTTCATCTTTGGAACAGAGAGAGTAAGAAACTTAGGATTGAAGAAGGAAGCATCATTCATCAACTCATGTCTCATTCTTGCATTTTTTGTAACTCTTCTTCTTTACATTTAAGTTAAATCATGTAAAGTATATTTCCACGAGAGACAAGGACAAATCTGTGTTTGTTGTGAACATACAGATTTGCTGATCTATCTGCCATTCTTAGGAGCCGTACAAATAGCCAATGTGTATTTTGTAATTTGTACATCAAAAGTCTGGTTTTTTAGTTATTTACTAGACGCAATCTTTCGGGTCAATTTTTTATTTAGACGTTTAATATCCAAACGTTAATTTAAACTTCAATGAACTTTAAAGTGTTATATAGTTTTATTAGCATGTCCTATAACTAATAGAAGAATAATGTTTATAAGTTTCATATCAATAACAAAACCAAACAATCACCATCATTACAATCTGAGCAGTGTATAAATCAAAATTCCAAATAAATGTTACACCATCAGAAAACCAAAATAATTAAATGTTGACTTTAAAAGACACGCAATAAACATAAAAATACAAAGATAAATATTGAGATAATAAGTTTACTTTGGGAGAAGTAAACACTTACATAAGTCTCACATCTCCTACATAGTTTGCTAATGCCTTAACATAACACTTCCCACTAAACTGTAGTGGAACTTCAAGTATTACTCTTGTGAGAATGTTGCTCTCGAGATTGTAGTAAAATATGAAGAACTGATCTTGTGTATACTCTGGGTAAAACACGATTTCGCTACTACCAATCATTCCAGCAATATGTATAGAACTAAATTTTTTCAGCCATGTATTGGGCATTTCGTAGATATACTTTGACCATTGATGCGTCTCTGCATCCTCTAAAACCCACAATTTAAAAGTATTAAAGCAAAGTTCGTAAACAGAAGCACCTAATTTACCCTTGTAGTCGATAAAATCAAGAGAATGTCCCATCTTTTGTATATCTTGATCAATGTCAATAAAACTAAAACTCTCAGACCTAACATGAAAGCAAGCTATCGTAAAGTTAGTTAAGACATCCGCTGCATAATACAAGATACCACTTATGCACATCGCCCTAATAACGTATCTAGGAAAATGAAGTGTGCAACATTCAGTCTTTCTCCATAAGAGATTTCTGTTTCCAGACTCGAATGTGAGAACATGATACTGACCAAATTTAGGTAAGCGACGCGATGAGGTGATACGCAATACCTTGGACTGTTTCTCGATTGGATCATACCCAAAAAAAAATGTTTCATCGACAAATAACCACTCTTTCTTAACCTCATTTATTATCAGTTTGGGCAAGGCTAAAAACTCTCCCGTTATGGGATTAGAAATCACCTCCAATCCTGAAGAATTCTTTCTGTGATATTCAATACATAACAATCCACCAATAGGAGGACTTGATATAGTTAAACATTTTCCACTTGTCCAATGATGAAGTGTGGCTACAAGAGACGTGTTCTCATCCGGGTTACAAGGCTGAGGTGAAGAGTAGAAGAACAACCCTCCTGCATTTCCGATGCTCCAAAGGATCCGCGGTGGATCCGGAGACTTGATGGGGAACAACATGTTGTAATATGGACGACGAATTATGGATGACCAGAGCTTGGATACGCAACGACACTGAGCCAAAGACTTCACCGGCAATTTCGACAAGATATTACTAGTGAAGAGGTCAACATGGATCGCATCAAAATATTCTGTTTCTTCATCCCCGGAGGTTTGATTCATGGTAAAAATGAAAATTATGTACGTTTCTATGAGAAAGATCTATCTCTAAAAGAAGGTGGCTGTTTTTTTGTGAGTTGAATCTTATATATTTATAGGGAGGGGGGGGATGAGTTAATTTGAAAAATAAGTTTACTTTTTTTTTTTTAAAAGAAATTAGTATCTTTATTGATTCTTATCAAATATTTTGTATCAAATTTACATTGTTTAGATTTTTTGTGTAAATATTTTGCATCCTTAAATTTAATGGCATCTGATTTAGGTTTATTTTTTGTTTTTCTAATTTATTAGTTTAAAATTAGGTAGATATATTTTTTTAGAAAATTTGAAATTAATGATATTGAAGATTTTATATCAATTTTTTTTTTAGATTTTCTTGTTTAAATATTTGTATTTGTTAAACTTAATGGCATTCTATTTTGTTTGATCTTCTTCCAATATATCAGTTTTAGTTAGGTAAATATATTTCAGGAAATTCGAAATTAGTGTTATAGAAGATTTTATATCAAATTAAGTTAAAAAAAAAATTAAAAAATATTTTGTATCCTTAAACTTAATGGCATCTGATTTATACTTCTTGTTTTTTAAAAATTATTTAAATATTTTGATGTGCTGATGTGAGGCTATATCAAGCCATTTTTTAATTAAGGAAATTAAAATAAATAACTAATATAGATAACACAGAATTTATGAGTTATTATTGTGACCAGAGGCTAAACTCTAACAAGAAAACACAAAATCTCCAAGGAAAAAAAGTACTAAAGAGACATAAATCACATCAGCGTAAAACTTGAATCTATTTCTCATATACAAACAAGAACACATTGATTCAGACAATAACATCACAACAACAATGGCCTAATTCTAAATCAACCAGATTTCTAATTCTAAAATCATAACAACAATGGCCTAAGATGATAACAACAATGATCATAACAAAAAGTATTCTAAATCTAAAGCGCAGGTGTAAGTTCTATATGCTACTCATTCGGATACCGGGATCTCTAGGAGGCTGAAAGTCTTTGGCCCTCGAAAGGGTCACATAGTAAAGCTCGGAGACAATCCCCGTGAGCACTATGAATGCTGCTCCAGCCCCAAACACGCCTTTTCTGAGTGATCGACAAGAAGGAGAAGTGTTTCCAAAGTAGACACGGTACTTTGTATGGTAAGCGTTTCGTACAGAGCCAGCAAGTAAACACACTTGTGCTATGAAGAAGAAAACCCTGCAACAATCATCCCAGTCCCATGACATTCATATATGACACAAACAAATTATCATTTGAAGTTACGCACGGAAAAAATCAACAACCAATTTCCGCTATTAGAGTAGATGAAATCATGAAGCTAACAAACCAGCCAACAACTTGTGCAAATGGAAGGTGAAGTCTTGCCAATTTCAGCCACTTTGAACAATCAACCATGGATGCAGAAACCTCGGAGAAAGTTTAGTTCTTTGATCTTAAAAGTTGAGTGTGTAGCATTAGATATCAACGAATAATCTAGTCTAAATCTCCGTTGATCTTAGCATATGCGCTATAGTAGCCGTAAATCCAAGTTTACAGTTTGTTTGAACTAGCATGCATCTATGACTAGTAGAAGCTTTATAGCATACTGGCATCAGCCAATTCCGTTCTACTCGCAGATCGATAAACAGTGTAATCTAAGATGATATAATACCTAGATTGTGCAGGAAGAAAAGAGGATTTTACCAAGTGGTGATGAAGAGAAAAATTGCCCAAGATCTTGACCCACTTGGTGTCAATGGTCTTCCACAGCACAAACATTGGCTCGCCACCATTATTAAGAGCTGACTCGCTAATAAGATCAAGAAAGAACCGAGTCCGAGACCCGTTGCTATATCCTTGTCATACACACAGTAGCTTAAATCTCTTGATTCTCTAGAAATTTGCCACTGCAATAAAATCAGGAAGAACAACACAATGAACACAAAACAGAACAAATCTCAACTCAAATCCTTCCAAAGTTTTCAGCTTTCTATGAAACTAATTGAATTTTACAAAACCCAAAAAATTTCAAGAACCCAACTTTAAGAATCCTAAGCAGATAGATCCAAAGATGTGAAACTGAGAGAGAAACCCACTAATAATCAAATCAATTTGACAAGAAATGTTCGAAGCAGTAAAGAGAGAGAAACTGACGGTGGTTCTTCGTTGCTCTGCAGCAACAGCAAGACCAAAAGCAATGAGATCAAACACGAAAACCAGAAGAAGTAGCAACACGGAAGACATAGCTGCCGAAATCAAAGCAACACATACAAAACCCTAAACTCAAAATCTCTTCTTCATCTTCCACACTCTTTCTTGATAATATCGCCGACGCTAAGAAATCAAAAACACACTGTGCTAAGGAAAGAGGAAACTTGTGAACGACGAGGACACGTGTTATTAATTCTTTGTTATTTTTTTCATCCACACGCTTTTCACATGCTTTCTTTCGAATGCTATTTTGATTTTTGTTAAATGAAATTATAAGACAAATTTTAAATTTTATTTACCTGGTAAACCAACTTTTGGTGTTCTTATGGTAAAAAAGTCACTCCAATGCGATTTTGAAAATATGGTTGGCTACTATAAACGTTTTTATATAACAATTATAGTATGAGTTTATTCAACAATATATATTTTTTTTTTTTGAAAAATCATACTAGTATGAGTTTCGGGATAAAATCTCATGGACCATGGGTTTATTCAAATAAAATGCGACAAGGTCTTGTTAGCACTTAGCAGGCCCGGCTCTTGGGGTGTGCGGGGTGTACTAGTGCACCGGGTCCCACTTTTTTTTTTCTTTTTTTTTGTATTTTAGAGTCCAAAATTTTTCAAATATTTGCAATTAAGGGTTTAGTTTTTAAAATGTTAAATATTTAGACTACGTAAAAAAAATTGCAGCATAGCACATGGTCCAATAATTTGTTGAGCCGGCCCTGGCACTTAGCAATAGCCAATATGTTATGAGTAATCATGTTTTATTTAGATTAGATACGTAAGTCCAATCTAATTGGATACATAAAAGTCATAATTAGACTTGAAAATGCTTACTAAAAGGCATTATTGTTTAACACTGGTAGATAATAGAAAGCTCAAACCCAAAGGGGTTTAAAGATTTTAGATCTCTTTATCGCTGTTTCAGAGGCAAACGATAGAATAAAAACATAAAATGATCAAAGAGATAGAAAAGATTAGTAAGTTTTGATAATATTCATCATATATATAAGATAGATCATCTATCAACAGGGTCTGGTGCACAAACAGCGACGACGGAATCCACGGCAGTCACCATCTGAAAAACCTTCATTGTGGCAAACATTAGCGCAATTGCTTGAGCTCAGACATGGTCCATTGAACAAGTTGCTACTCGTTTCACACGTCCGTGCCTCTACCGTGACCGGACCAATCCCTACAAACACAAAATTCGTTATAAATAAATGAGGAATTATAATTTAACGTTATAGATTATTCGAACATGTAATATGTAGAGTATTCCTATTAATAAGGACCATATTATGTGTACACTGTGTACATATATGGGGACATCAACTTTCTTTCTTTTTTTACAAAGAAATGTTCTTATAATTAAAAAAAATGACGAATAACAAGATATGGATCATAGTTCTATAACCAAAAAAAAAAATATGGATAATAGATTACTAGCAAATGTATATGTAGATAATTACATGTTGACATAAGTTTTTATGTAGACAAAAGTGAACCTGTGGCAAGGATCATGAACAATAGGAGAAGGGCTGAGATCAAACGACTAGAGACCTTCATTATCTAAGATAGAGTTTGGACAAAAGTGTTTTGCAGAGGCACAGAGCTATTAAGGAAGAAGATGGAACTTATATAAGGGACTAAAGATTGATATATAATAAGGTTATTATTTATTTTGCTTGATGAGAATACTAATTCATGTTGGACGTGTTTTTGTTATCAGATAGAGTGGTTGTTTGACCACAATATCGCCGTTTCTTTGGATCTTGCTCTATTCACGTTTCTTTGGTTGTAAGAAATATATAATTTGGTAAATGAAATAAAATTCGGCAGAATACAATTATACATTTGAAATGAAGATTAGTAAAAATGTGAAATTATTTACGAGACGTATCAGCTGATGGATTATTTCCAAAATGATTTGCAAGCTAGCTATTTAGAGAAAGTGTCACAAAATGGAGACATTTAGTTTACAAAAAAAAGTTTAAAGAAAGAAAAAGTTTATATATAACAGCAAAACAATATTACATATTGTGGCAACACAAAAGGTCTTGCTTGACTTAAAAGGTTCTTAAAGCCTTTTCACTCAAAAGATTCTGTATCTCCGAGCTCCCATGAAACTTCTAAATCCTAATTTTTTTGAGGGAGCTACAAAATTACACATTCAAAAGTCAAAAACAATAGGTTAAAGCTTATATATACATATACATAAACTCTTTTATTGTTCGATATCGAACATTTTGGGACAATATTTTAAGCTGTTGAAAATGGCAAAAAGGAGTACGTAGTAGTTGGGAACTTGTGAAGATGATCTAAATGATGGAATCATCATAGGTTCTGATCAGAATCAGTTTGGATCTCATGAGCCAACTCTCTGGTTAAAGAATCAGCGCGATCGTCGTGTCCTCCAGCAAATGTGTAGACTTTGAATGCAAACTGAAATGCCCTCCAAAGCATTTTAGCAGATCCTACTGTCTTCTTCAGGCTCGGCTTCGCATCGAGGGACACAAGCTTTTCGTCTCTCTTTTCCTGTGAATTCAATGTTGATCCGGTATGATTATGATTTCGGTACAACAAAAAGGCTAAAGAGAAGGGAAGTGTTTTATTATTGTTAGCAGTTAGTTACCTTCAATGCAAGTTCCATGCAATTTGATGAGATATCAACCATTGTTTCTTTGATCTGAATAAGTATATTGAAGTCAAAGTGGATGTTGTGGCTCTGGAACTTCTTAGATTCCTCATCTTTGGTTCGATCCAGAGTGTCAATATCTCCTTTGATCTGTTTGATTAATCATTGAGTTTTGTATCTTTAAGTTACAAAATGTTGTTGAAATTAGGATCTGAGGGAAGAAATTAAATAAAGTAAAGTAGTTACCTTTGTGAAGTAACGTTCGACTTTATCGAGAAGCTGATTCAAAGGAGGTTCTATTTTCATGTTCTGTAGCTCAGTGATCATACCGTGCAATTTCGTGTACAATGCAACTGCCATTCTCATTGCTTCGAGTTTCTTCTGCGGAAACCCTTCGCATCGCGCAAGAACCTAAAAGTTTTAGAACACTTTCACAATCAAGAATCACAAAAACAGAGGATGTAAATTGATGGTAGTAAGATGTTCAAATGTTACTGACCTGTGACTCATCTGTTAGGTTTTCAAGAACTGATTCGACGCGATGGTGGAAGGTAAGTAGCTCAGTCATGTCTTTAGTCTGGAACTTAGTGATTTCAATCTTCAGCTCATTGATTGACTTCATGTACTTTGCAATATCGGCTTGTATTTGCAAAAAATATGCAGATTTCTTTGTGATCTCAGCAAGAGCATCAGCCATTCCTTGCTTTCCACCAGCTGGAGCGCTTCCGGCTCCAGATTTTCTTCCGCTTCCGCTGCCCGTTTTTGCGTTAGGATCACGCCCTTCTACTTTCCCTTTAAGGATTCTGTAAAGGTTTCCTAATTGTGTTGACCTTTTCAGCTTAGTGGCTGCTTTCTTGGGACGCAAGCTTCTTGCAGCTCCTGGTGGTGGCGGTGGACCAGCTGCTCCGTTCGCCATACCCATTCGAGGTGGTGGTGGAGGCGGTCCCGCTGCTCCATTTGCCATAGCCATCGGAGGTGGTGGCGGTGGTGGTGCTGCTCCATTAGCTAGAGGCATAGGAGGAGGTGGAGGTGGTGGTCCACCACTTCCACTATTTGCCATAGGCATTGGAGGTGGCGGTGGTGCTCTGTTTTGCATCGGTGGAGGAGGAGGAGGTGGTGGTGGTGCCGCTGCAGTTCCAGGAGGTGGGGCCACTGCAGTTCTTGGAGGTGGAGGCGGTGGAGGTGGAGCGAGTGCAGTGTTTGGAAGTGGAGGAGGTGGCGGTGGTGGTGGAGTATTAGAGCCTTTTAAAGGCATATTTTCTGGTGGAGGCGGTGGTGGTGGTGGTGGAGCAGAGCCTTTTAAAGGCATAACTGCTGGTGGAGGCGGTGGTGGTGGCGGAGGTGGCATTGATATTGCCACGTCAGCAATACGCGGAGGAGGAGGAGGAGGTGGTGGTTGAGAAGGTAAAGATGCAGTTTTTATAGTGGATAGTGGAGGAGGAGGAGGAGGAGGAGGCGGCGGTGGTGGCGAAAATTGTGACAAATTTTCAGATTTTTCTGAAGGATTAAGTTTGGATTCAAATGTTGAATCCAAAGAAGAGATCTTCATGACAGTATCTTGTTCTTCATCAAGAACAACAGATTCTTCTGTCTCCATTTTCACATCAATGCTCTCTATCTCATCCTTCTTCTGCTTGATCTCTTCAACAACACTAATCTCATCTTCACTATTGCTTTGATTTGGTTCCTGAGCTTCTTTCTGTGAAAAGATGTGGATAGCGAGTCGCTTAACATCGATAGGACTAAGCTTCTCAAGTGCTTGAACTCTCATATTCCACAGAAGATGTGATGCAGAGTTTGCAAAGTCTCCAACTCTTCCCGGTGAACCCATCATTGGTTCTGGTAGAACTGATCTTGGCGTGATCGGTGACCCGCAAAACGAGTTTCTGTCGAAGGATGATTTGCTATCGGAGAATGATTCGGATGGCGATAAAACTCGACTGCTCGAGGTTTTACCTGTCTGTGGACTAGTGGACTCTTTCTTCTCTTCTTCTTCATCAATCTCCATCATATCAAACCTCTCTTTTGACATCTTGATCAGTCCATCTAATGCAGCTAACACTTTTTCCACTGCAAAGAAAACAGAACATTTTAAAGAGTTTTTCACTTCAAAACATTTTGAACATTAATTTAAAAGATGATTTTCTTGTTACCTAAGCGATCGGACTGATTCTTCCCGACGCTGCTACTCCAATACTTGGATTTAGCTATCCATTCAGGGTTATCAATCCATGAATCTCCAATGGATTTCAAAGCATTGAAGAAATGGTCAAGAACCTTTGGGAGAAACATTTGATCAGATTCAAGAAATGTGAACATATATCAGGACAGAGAAAAATCATATATTCGGATCATGTTTTGAATACCTTATCGACATTTGCACGTCTAATTTCCATGATATGGGAGCTATGAATGATCTCAGGACAAATTTTCTGGAGATCTTTCATTGTATGCATCACCATCTACACAACAAAACAAACAAGTGAGTCAAAATTACATGTAAAGCATCTAGATACAATAAACAAGGATATAAGTTTGCGGTTTACGCACATCGGTTATGGAAGGAGAACCATCAAGAGTAGAAAGATCAATAATATCTCTAAAGGTAAAGATCTTCCTGCGAAGCTCGACCATAAGAATAAAATTGCCTGTCCATTTAGGTGAACTGCTCGTCTTGGGGCTCTTAGCTTCTTTAACAGAAACATTCTTGAGGATGCCTATAGGCGATGAAACACGTCTTGATGATGTTAAGTTGCTCCCGGATAATATTGACTTAGATGATCTAATCGGTATAGGTGAAGAAGAAGGTTTAGGTGAAGAAGAAGAAGAAGAAATTTTAACATCCTGCTTGCTATTCTTGCTAACTTTAGGAGATGCTTGCCCTTTTACAGGCTGCAAAAAAAAAAAAGAGAGAAATTCAGAATCAAGTATTTTGCATTTTGGAAACGTGATTATGAAAAATTTGTTATTTCTTTTATGTTTCATCATCATAGTTTTATTAACCATAATTAAAAAATGATCTATAACATGAACAAATGAAGACTACATAAGAATTTTTGGTATGTCTTTTTGGAACCATAACTCCTAGAGACAAGAAACTTATTAAGAGTTTTCTATGAATCATATGAATAAATTCCAAATATATGAAAGGGTTTTATGGATATATATGTGAATAATCAAAATAAATGAAGAAAATTTTAACATACATGTCAAGGATATGTGAATAAATAATCTATAATCAATCAAGAAATAAGAAGAATTTTTACCTGTAACTTGCTTGATGATTTACGACCGAACAACATTGTTGTTTGGATACCAAAACAGCCTCCGGCTGTCATTAGTTGCCGGCGACTCCGGCTTTATAATGTCAAAAAAAAAACTATTTTTTTTTGGTATTTCTGTTGAAAAATTCAAAATAAAAAATGAATATTTACAGACTTGTTCAAAGCCTTACAGCTGAAGAAATTAATAAAGAATAACATCACAATCATAGAATTCAGAATCGTGCAGAGCAAATCTTATTAGGGTTTTGAGATTCAGGACATATGGAACTTTCTCAAGAAAGAGAGATCGCCAAAGGAAAACAAATGTTGAAACTGTCTTTTTTATGGGCAAATTTCTCTAACCCCTTTCTAAAACCTAACTGTCCTTTTTTTAGTTAGATTATTTTCTGTTATTTTTTTCTTACCTGTGTAATTACTAATTATAATTTTTTGGGAAAGTAGTTAAGAACGATATAATTCTTTATCTCATATCTTTGTTTTATTGTTACACCTATTCTGTTATACTTGAAAGATCAAACCTTTTTCTATTTTGAATAAATGACAACAGAAAACAAAAATCTTATCTTTTTTAGTAGCACCAGGAAAAAATAAAATAATTTAACATGTAGTAGTTTAGAACCTGCACAGTCTGCGGGTGTTAATACTAACTATACTAATAAAAACTACTTAAATTCATATGAAAAATTGTTTTTTTTTTTTTTTTTTGAGAAAACTCGCAAAACAATTTTCAAAATAACCAAAGTTGCAAAATAAACTTTAACCAGAGAACATTAATTTGTACATGTAAGACATTAAACAATATCACATACCTCTTTCGAAGATTTTGTAGCTGTGTGTGACAGTGAAATTCTTGTTTACAGACAAAAAACCGGCCAATGTCTTTAAGCAAATAAAAATTTCTTCAATAGTCCACACATATAAATACATGATCAAACTCATTTTCTTTCAAGAATTGTATATAGTATGAATGTGCCATAAAGGAAACTAATCTACCAATAACTCATATACATCAGCTTACATGCAAAGTTGTAAACATTTATTTGAATAATTTTGTTTTTATGTTAAAAATATATAACTACTATATAAGTCGTAAAGTTGGTTTAAACACAAGTAACGACTACCTCAAATTTCATACATTTGGACATAAAAGATTGTATATATCTTATATAGAGAGGAAATTACAAACTTTCTTAACAAGACAAATTCAAAAGGAGGAAAATAGATTAGTAATAGTTTCAACGATTTGTATTAATGTTGTCATCGTGTCACTATTCACGTTTAAATCTTGTAGAATATATGTGGATTCGGCCGAAACAATTTATATTAAATTAATGAAAATATGGTTCCCACTGAATCTAAAATGATGGAATAAAGATAAAAAATGATGCAATAGTTCTACTATGGTTTTTATAGATTTACTTTTGTTCGACCCAATAGTATACAATTATTGTTGTAAAAGGTGCTAAGACATAGTCTATGTTATTTATGTTGGTTTCATCAAATAATAACATGTTTTGTGAAGCATATCATATGTCAACTTGTGGTTCTTAACAATCGTTTTAATATGATTTTACATGGAAAATATTATAAGCTTTTTTGCTTAATTCTAGTCAAAGTTTACAAATAGGTACGGGATATTTATCTATATGATTCATGCATCCAATTTTTATATAAACGTCATATATATAATTCATGCATCAAATAGAAATGGCTTATACATTCCTTAGGTGAACAATTCAAATATAGTTAAACGCGTTATGGAATAGACAGACTTTACAACACGAGATAAAATCAACTCGAGACTAGTACACTTTATTTTTGTAATAGGCCCAAAAAAGGCCATTAGTACTGCGTTTTAGAAAAACCGAGAAACTAAACCAAAACCGAAGAGAAAACCGGTTGAACAGAATTTAAATCCAGTTATGCATGGTTGTGAACTTGTGATTTTCAAACACTCTTTGTTGTTCGTATGGCCCAGGTCAATAACTGCTTGTTTATTCCAGTACTAATGGTGAGATTTGTTTTGCGTGTCTAGCAAGGAATTGTTTATGAGAGAATTGGCTTCACTACATAGGTGTCATGTAATCAGGTGAGAAATTGATCTCATTGATGTTTTGTGTTATTCACTGAGATAGTGAGATTAGGATGTAATCTAAATTATTCAATCTAGCTTTGGTTGAAGGACTTTTACAATGCTAGGGCTCCTTAGTTCTTTGGGGCAAAGATACAAAGAAACAAGACAGGTGTTACAAGAGAGGAGTCAAGAAGATCCACACGTCACAGCTTAATACTTATCTTTTGTACGTAATCAAAACACACAAGAATAGTTCCATAAGAACTTGGCGAAAAGAAAACACAGGCTCCTCAAGTGGGTCTCTTGATGTTGTAATCAATTAATTCAAGAATAAAATGAAAAGATAGATCATAATACTATATTTTATTTTGGAATTACAAAGACCAATTCCTAAACAAAGGGGAATTAAAGGGAGTACAACTCCTATAAACAAAGGAAAAACATAAACGTAGATTTTGTTGTATATGAACACAAAAACCACTCTTATTTGCTCGCACACTAGAAATTTAGAAAACGTATAATTTGATCATAGTATTAATTGTTTATATTTCGGGGTAATGTTTGTTGCAGTTAGGTTCGCATTTGTGAGATGTACTGGCCTCACCTTGACTTCTCTTAGCTTCCTTTGAACTATCACGAGCCTTTATCCTTCTTACATTAGCACAATATTCAGCATCCGTAAGATACGCCTCTTTTGACTCTTTCTCGATCACGGCTAGATAATCCTGAAAGAACTTTCTCACATCCTCAGGTACTGAAGAAGGAATCTTCTGGGTCATGTGCATCTCAGTTTCCTTCTCAGTGTAGCAGTTTTTGAAACAGAACATTAACTCATCCATGCTTTGTTTTTCTACTTCCCTCACGAGCTTGCCCTTAGCCTCCTTCATAGCCGGGAGCAGCTGCATCTCAATAACCTGGGGAGTGTCTGGTCTCATGATCATCTACAATCACACCAACAAAAAATGGATACTATAAGAAACACTAAAGAGAGTAAACAAAAGTCTATCCACCATTCAAAATTTCAGATAATATCACAATTGCCCTCAGAAAGATTCGTTCAACGCACATTCAAGAAAAAAATAAAGATCCAGTTACATGTAACATGAGCAAATAGTAGTAAAATTTCAAAATCAAGACAAGACCCATAAATCCATAATGCAAGAAACAACGATCAAACCTGAGACAACTAAAAAAAAGTACCTTTGATCGAAGAAATACACAGAAAAGTATAGGAAAGAGAGGAATGGAACAAGTATTGTAAGTAAAAGACACAGAAAGGTTTAGTACTTGCTCTGTTTTTTCAAGACCCCTAATGCAAGAAACAAAGACCAAACATGCGATCAAGTAAAAACGTACCTTTGATTGAAGAAAAACACACAGAAATGTATAGGTAAGAGAGGAATGAAACGAAGATTGTAAGAAAGAGTAGAGAATGTGTTTAGGACCTTTGCTTGGCTCTGTTTTTATAGCCAAAACTTCAAAACCCAATTACGCAAGAAACAAAAAAGATTAGACCTGTGATCCACTAAAAAAGTAGCTTTGAAATGTGTAGGAAAGAGCAATGAAACTAAGGTTTTGAGTAATCCGACGATGTTGTTAGTACTCGCTTTGCTTTATAGGCAAAATCGGCAAAGCATTGTGTTCACGTCTCTCTAATTTGCTAATTGAGTTAAGGGTTAGTTGGAACTAGAGAAATATATCTACAAAAAAAAGAATCAACCTTCCCATTAAAGTATCTACCCAAAATTTCCAACGTTGAAAAACCAAGAGAAACAGAAAGAGACGAATCTCACATCACCATCACAAACTCATCATCACTTGTTGTAAATTGTAATCTTTTTTTTTCTTATTAGTGTTGGTTTTAATCTAAAATAAATATCTCGGATGTTATTACAAAACCTCAACTGTTTTTATTGTCTCGAATACTAATATTATAACGTTGGTTAGTCACAATTTATTGATATGCATGCAATACAACCTTTTCGAGAGGCTATAGTCTAATGACTTAGAAATATTGTATTGCTCATTTTTCCTATATTGTTCCTATTGAAATATTTTCCTTGCTCATAATTTTTCCTATATAATTTTTTTTCAATAGAATACACTATAATAAAAATTAAATTGTAATTGCTTAACAGAATTGATTTTTATATACTAATAAATTTTTAATAACAATCACCCCTATTGGTTAAAAAGCTTCGGAATTCATATTAATTTATCCTTTATCAAACAAATAAAAATCACATTCATTAATATTTATAAGATATTTGTTGTCAAGCTAACTATTACTATAGTATATTAGTGGACTCTTGCGAGATTCAGAAAATGTTGGTGGAATGAGAAAATGATGTACATAAGTTACCACTCTTTGCATGCCATATATGGTAAGGATTATAGTTTGAATTTACATCGTCAAGAAATGCCAAAACTACGAAAAGTTGATAAAGTTATTATATAGTTAAACACTCTTTGAACTAAACAAAAAAATTATCAAAAAAGTGAAAAGTAAAATATTGACGAAGAGATGAGGCGGATTCAGTTTGAGTAAACTCTTTCATTTCATGCATCCCAATTTTTACGTGGACCACTAAACTAATTAAAACGCGTTGAGAGTTTGCAACACGAGAGATGAAATCATAAGATTTGTCACCATGCCAATTTTAAACATCAATGTGCATTAATAAGTGATCAAGAAAACATAGGCTCCTCAAGTGGGTCTCTTGAGTTGTGTAATCAATTACAACTTACGAATAAAATGAAAAGATAGATAAAATTATTTCTGGTTTTTCATTACACGGTTTTTATTTTGGAATCACAAAGACCAATTCCTAAACAAAGGGGAGTTAAAGGGAGTACAACTCCTATAAACAAAGGGAAAACATAAACGTGGTTTTTGTTGTATAAGGAACACAATAACCACTCTTATTTGTTGTATAGAAATTTAGAAAACGTATCCTTTGATCATAGTATTATTTATAATGTTTGTTGCAGTTAGGTTCACATTTGTGAGATGTACTGGCCTCACCTTGACGCCTCTTAGGTTCCTCAGAATTATCATCCCCCTGACTCATTCTTTCACTAGCACAATCTTCAGCATCCTTGAGATACGCCTCTTTTGAATCTTTATCGATCATGGTTAGAAACAACTGATAGAAATTTTTCACATCCGATTCTTTTAAAGAAGGAATCTTCTGGGTCAAGTGCTTCTCAGTTTCCTCCTCAGTGTAGCAGTTTTCGAAACAGAACACAAACTCATCTGTGCCATTTTTTTCTACTTCTCCCTCGAGGATGCCCTTAACCAACTTCATAGCTGGGAGCAGCTTCTCAATAATAATCTTGTGAGTTTCTGGTCTCATCTACAATCACACCAACAAAATGTATATATTAATATAATAAATCCTTTAGATTATCAAAACTGAGACAATAATCAAAACCTGAGAGGAAACACTAAAGAGAGTAAACAAAAGTCTATCTACCCTTCAAGATTTCAGATATTATCACAAATGCCCTCGGAAAGATTCTTTCAACGCACATTCAAGAAAAAAAAAGACCCAGACTGAAAACAACATGTTACATAAGCAAAAAGTAGCAAAATTTCAAAATCAAGACAAGACCCATAAATCCATAATGCAAGAAACAATCAAACAAACCTGAGATCATCAACTTAAAAAAAAAATAACTTTGATCGAAGAAATAAACAGAAAAGTATAGGAATGGAAAGGATTGTAAGTAAAAAGACACAGAAATGTATGTAATAATATGATGTGTTTGGTACTTGCTCTGTTTTTTTTTTCAAGACCCACAATGCAAGAAACAAAGATCAGCCAAGCGATCAACTAAAAACGTACCTTTGATTGAAGAAAAACACACAGAAATGTATAAGAAAGAGGGGAATGAAACAAGGATTGTGATTAAGGGTAGAATGTGTTTAGCACCTTTGATTGGCTTTGTTTTATAGACAAAACTTCAAGACCCATTACGCAAGAAACAAAAATATCAGACCTGTGATCCACTGATAAAGTAGCTTTGAAATTTGTAGGAAAGAGAACAATGAAACGAGGTATTTTAAGTAATCTGACGATGTGTTTAGTACTCGCTTTGCTTTATAAGCAAAATCGGCAATGGCATTGTGTTCACGTCTCTCTAATTTGCTTATTGAGTTAAGGGTTAGTTGAAACTAGAGAAATATATTTACAAAACAAGAATCAACATTTCCACTAAAGTATCTACCCAATTTTTCCAACGTTGAAAAACCAAGAGAAACAGAAAAAGAGGAATCTCACATCATCATCACTTGTTGTAATCTTTTTTTGTTTTTATTAGTGTTGGTTTTAATCTAAAATAAATATTTCGGATGTTATTATAAGATATATCAACTGTTTTTATTGTCACGCAAATGATTATACTTGGCTAATAACAATTTATTGATATGCATGCAAGTGCAATACAACCTTGTCGATAGGGTATAGTCTACTGAGTCAGAAATATTTTATTGCTAATGCTCGCAAACTTTCTTATTCTAAACATTTTAGAACTCTACTTGCAAACTTTCTTATTCTAAAAGCAATTTAGAATAACGTTTTAACATTTCCTTTAATCATATTTAACGTTTCTCGTTTCTTAACCTCATATTACAACACATTTTCTTTAGAGATTTTTTTTATTTCTTTTCACAATTCTTATGGATCTTCCTTGTTTGCAAAAGTATGAATCACCCTTAGTTCAACAATATTGAGTATCCACAAAATCACAACGAATTGGTAGACACTTAATTAATCTTCATATTCAACATCATTCTTTTGGTTTCGAAATTGTTCCGTCGACGAAACCATCTTTCTTCTCCACTGATTCATCAAGTTACCGCCATTTTTTTTTTGAATCTAATGTTAAATTATATTCAAAAGAAAAAATACGTTGTTACAACAAAGTGCATCGTAAGTTTGAAAGAAATTTGAAAGAAAATTTGAGACCAACAAAAACTAGAAAGCTTTAGAGTTTAAATCCGAGCTTGTAGCCATCTTTGATACGCCGCTTCGTATCGTCTATCTCCTTTTCTTCGAATCATCGAAATCTGGTTTCTGATTTGCTTCTCTATCCATCCCGCTATGATAGTCCCCGAATGAGGCTGTTCATCATGTCTACGACCATTTCTCTCCTTCCAAATCATATAGACGGAAGTTTGAAAGAGACACCTAGTGAGGAAGCTCTCCACCCGATCTTGCTTTGAATTTGAGATGTGATCTATAATATGATCCCAAACTGTTGTGTATTTTGCTTTGAGGATCCCTTTCGCAAGGGCAGCCCATATTTCCTGCGTGTAGTCACAAGAGAAAAAAAGATGATCCCTTGTTTCCACACAAGTGTTACAGAAAACACAAAGTCCTGATCCACCTCCGTTCCAGCGTTGCATACGTTCTCCCGTAGAAAGCCTGTCATGAACTGCTAGCCATACACAAAACGAGTACTTAGGGGTGTCATAAGTGAACCATACCCCTTTGTGCCAAGAGACTGTGGTAGACGTTGTTCTGATGTGATTCCATGTGTCCTTTGTCGAGAAATGTGGTTTGAAAGCATCATTCTTGTCGCGCCAGAGCACACTGTCTACGTTGCCATTTCGTTTTCTCCCCTGTTCAAACAGTATCTCCTCTGTTTCATTTAATAAAGCTGAGCGGTGTCTTCTACGGCGGTGACTGGCCCAAGCTTGCGCCACCGTACTCGTGCTACTGATCCCCAAATCAATGACACCCCTAACACCCGCAGACTCAATTAAACGGCCTAGTCTTGACCAGTGGTCATACCAAAAGGATGTATACTCTCCATTTCCCACTTCCACGCGACAGAAACCCTTCGCCACTTCTCTATGTTTGAGTATTTTTTTCCAAATCCAAGAACCCAAGCTTGTAGTGTTTTTAAGCGACCAGAAAGAAACTTTTTTGAGGAGATTTTCTTTAACCCAAGTAACCCATAGAGAGTTGCTGTTAGAAACTATCCGCCATATCAGTTTCAAACAACAGACCTTGTTTGCTTCCTTAAGTGATCTCAGCCCTAAACCTCCTTCATACTTTGGTTTGCACACTTGTTCCCAGGAAATCTTTGCTTTGTGAGTTCTCATTGCAGCGCCTGACCATAGAAATGCAGAACATAGCTTCTCAATGCTTGCGATACAATCACTGGGAAGCCGATATGCTGCCAGCCAAAAGTTGCAGATACTCCACAAGACTGACGAGATCAAATTCAACCTACCCGCAAAAGAGAGATAACGTGCTGTCCAAGACTCAATGCGTTTCTTAATCTGTTCTATCAATGGTGCATAGTCTGTAGTCGCAAGCCGCTTTGTGACTAGAGGGAGGCCCAAATAACGTACCGGGAGATGTCCAATATCGAAAGAGTAAGCTGCAGCAATCTGTTGAGCCGTGGAGGGTGAGCTGCCAGCTAAATAAAGAGTCGATTTCTCCATACTTATTTTTAGACCTGAAATTTTTGCAAACTCCTCAAACACCGAGATTATTCCTTCAACAGAGCGAACCTTACCATCAGAGAGAACCATGAGATCATCCGCAAAACTTAGGTGAGTGAGACCTAGAGTTTTGCATTTTGGATGATAGCCGAACTGTCGGGCTGCTGCAGCCCTGTCTAGCATTTTAGAGAGTACATCCATAATTATAACAAACAGGTAGGGCGAGAGAGAACAACCCTGTCGTAGACCCCTTGAACTCCGAAAATAACCAGCTAATTCCCCATTTACTTGTACCGAGAACGAAGCTGTGGTGATGATGATACAAGTTACCGCCATTGAATTGAACTTAAGTGATAACTACACCAAAAAAATTGTTTGCAGCCAATTGGTCCAACAATTTTTGGTGTAATAATTTAGTATTGATAACAAGCTTCTCAGCTATGTAATGTTTAGTATTGATGATTGGGAAGCAATTCAATTTCGCGGTGATTCATTCTCATAAGTCATCATCCTCAAGTCTAGTACGTCGTTTACTTTTAAGTAAAATAGGGTTACAACTAATTTATGAATAATATAAAAAGATGATGATACAAGTTGACAAAAGAGAAACAAATAAATAGTTAATATATATAAATTAGAACACAACAGTTTTTACTTTTTAATGGTAGTTTTTCTTCTTCTGATTTTTCATTATCATGTTTATTTTGAAAGCACAAAGATGTTGGAGTACAACTCCTAAACAAAGACTAAGTTTTGTTGGAACCGATCTGGTCTCCAGATTCGTTTCGACTTGTTGTATAAGCATGTTTTGCCTCAGCTAGCACAATCTCTAGCCGCTTGTTCAGCCTATCTTCATCGTCGTCAATGACCTCGCCGTTCGCCGTCTCACCCTTCTGCAAAAGTTCAATTAGTTTTATGAACTGGATGAGGTTAATAATGTGAAGGGGATACTTTTCCTCCTCTTGCTTGTTGTCCACATCCGATTCCGCCTCAGATGAACGGGGACTCGATGCCATGGATGTGGTTATGAAAGATATAAGAAAATATGTATAGAAACTAGATAGAACGCAACAATTCAGATCCAAGAAATGAAAGAGAATCTTATTATATAGAGATGGTTCCTTTTCAAATGAGTTTGACATGTATTGAAATTTTAATTAACGGAATCGTGACACGTACGTATCAATTGATAGATCTTTCATATTCAAACTAGAGTAGGTTACAAATTTTGCTTATTTTATTCTTGTTTTAATTGTTATACCAATTTTATCAGATTCTTTTTCAAGTAAAAGTGTAACTAAATTTTTATTTTATTTCAATTAATTTTACAAATTAAACTTATTTACTTTTAAATATGCATGCATTAACTTTTGATTCTCATCTTCTTATCTTATATATACAAAAATGAAAATATTTAATTTTTTTTTTAATTTAGTTAAGTAAAGAAGTTTCTCATAAATTTATGTTTTGATTGAATCCCTAAATTTGGTTTTCAATTAAACTTTGTAATAAGTATTCAATCATAAAAAAAAAATTAATAAAATAAAATATTCAAAGGATTTACATAAGATATGGTTATTAATCAAAACCCATATTTACATCAATGTTAATTGTATTCGACACCCAAGTAGTGTCTTAATTAATCTAGTAGAAAATAAAAAGAATCAACCCCCTAGTTTTTTTTAATATACGGCTTCTCCCTAATGACTAAATTCGAGATTGAAGATAACTAAATTTGGTAATCTCTTAAACCAATAAACCAATATTGTACTAAACAAAGAGATATTCATAGTTTGATTTTTGGTTGTTTTTGTTTTACTAATGGGCCAAAGAAGTTCATTAATAAATGTCCAATTATTTATTGATTACTGTGCTTTAAGAAATGTGATTAGGTGTTTTGCTGCCAAAGCTGTTATGGCCTTAGCAAAGCTTCTTTGCCAAGGCATAATGGTGATGTTGATTCGCACAGGCTCTGATCCTCAAGTGGGTCACTTGAGTTATAATAAAAAAAATGGGTTGCAATTAAAATGAAAAGATGATCAAATTTATTTCTCGTATTTCATTATACTATTTGTTTATTATTTTGGAATCACAAAGACCAACTCCTAAACAAAGAGAATTAAAGGGAGTACTACAACTCCTCTAAACAAAGGGAAACATAAACGTACGTGGATTTTGTTGTATAGTAACACAAAAACCACTCTTATTTGTTGTATAGAAATTTAGAAAACGTATACTTTGATCCTAGTATAGGAGGGACACAACAAAAAAAAAGAGTCTTATTTGTCGCAGTTAGGTCCACATTTGTGAGATGTACTGGCCTCACCTTGACTTCTCTTAGCTTCCTCAGAAGTATCACGAGCCTGACTCATTCTTTCACTAGCACAATCTTCAGCATCCTTGAGATACACGTCTCTTAAATCTTTATCGATCACGGCTATAAACCCCTGACAGAAATTTCTCACTTCCGCAGGTACTGAAGAAGGAATCTTCTGGGTGATGTGATTCACAATTTCAGCCTCAGTGTAACAGTTTCTAAAACAGAACATGTACTCATCCATGATTTTTTTTACTTCTTCGTCGTCTTTAGTTTCCTGAACCGCCTTCATAGCTGTGAGCTGTGCCTGAATAACCTCGAGAGTTTCTGGTCTCATCTACAATCACACCAACAAAATTGATTATCAAGATGAATTTGATTATCTTAGGATCAAAAACAAGATTATTAAAACTGAGACAGGAATCAAAACCTGACTAAAGTGAGAGTAAAGCATTATACAAAACAATAGTTTATCCATATTTCAGACATTATCCCAAATGCCCTAAAAAAAATCTCTTTGCAGATCACAAGAATTACGAAAACGTGTTCGATTTCAAAGACTCACATTCAAGAAATAAAAAATGATCAAGACTGAAATCAAAAAACAGCAAAATTTGAAAAATCAGGACAAGACCCATAATGCAAGAAACAGCTGATCGGACATGATATCAACTTAAAAATGGTACCTTTTGATTGAAGAAAAAAGTATAAGAAAGAGAGAAATGGAACGAGGGATGTGTTTAATATTTGCTATGTTTTTTTCAAAGATCAACTAAAAACCGTACCTTTGATTGAAGAAAAACACACGGAAATGTATAGGAAAGAGATCAATGAAACGAAGATTGAAGGTAAGAGTATGATGTGTTTAGTACTTGCTTTGTTCTTTTATAGGCAAAACTTCATGACCCATTACGCAAGAAACAAAGATCAGCCCTGGAATCCACTAAAAAAGTAGCTTGGAAATGTGTAGGAAAGAGCAATGAAACAAAGGTTTTGAGTAATGTGACGATGTGTTTAGTACTCACTTTGCTTTATAGGCAAAATCGGCAATGGCATTGTGTTCACGTCTCTTTAATTTGCTAATTGAGTTAAGGGTTAGTTGGAACTAGGAAAATATATTTACAAAAAAATAATCAACCTTCCACTAAAGTACCTATCCAAATTTCCCAACGTTGAAAAACCAAGAGAAACTAACAGAAAGAGAGGGAATCTCACATCATCATCACAAACTCATCACTTGTTTGTAATCTTTTTTTTATATTAGTGTTGGTTTTAATCTAAATTAAATATATATCTCGGATGTTGCTACAAAACATCAACTGTTTTTATTGTCACGATAATTATTATATTCGTTGGTTAATCACAATTTATTGATATGTATGCAGTGCAATTGTTCCTTGCTCATAATTTTCCCCATATAAAAATATCATCCATATATATAGATTTTTTTTTTTGAAAAACTTAATAGAATATATTACATTATCGAAATCAATCTATAACGAAAGAAATTAAATTGTAATTGCTGTGCAGAACTGAGTTTTATACATTTTTGAATTCTAATAATAATCACCCCCGTTGGTTAAAAAGTTTCAGAATTCATCATATTTATTTATCAATTACTTGCGTGATTCAATACGTTAAAAATGTCGGTGGAGTGACAAATTGATGTACATAAGTTACCACTCTTTGCATGCCATATATGGGAAGGATGATAGTTGGAAATTTACATTGTCAAGAAATGCCAAAACTATTTAAAAAAAGTTGATAAAGTTGTTATATAATTAAACACTCTTTGAAAACTAAATAAAAAAGATTATCGAAAAAGTGAAAAGTATAATATTGACGAAGAGATGAGGCGGATTAAGTTTGAGTAAACCATTCATGCACAAAAGCATCCCAACTTTTACGTGGATCACTCAAATTTTTAAAACGCGTTGTGAATTTGCAAGTCGAGATGAAATCATAACATTTACATTTATGTGCACTAATAAGAGATTGCAGCATATACATTTATATTCTGAGTATATAATCCAAATTACAAAAATATATGTAAACCGTTTATGCATGTATATATACCACCTGACCTATTTATGTTTACTAAAAATTAAATTAGTCAAGAGGATCCAGAGTCACTAACTAATACTTATCTTTGTACATAAACATAACACACAAGATTGGGTTCCATAAGAACTTGGCGAAAAGAAAACACAGGCTCCTCAAGTGGGTCTCTTGAGTTGTAATTTACGAATAAAATGAAAGGATAGATAAAATTATTTTTGGTTTTTCATTATACTATTTTTATTAGTGAATCACAAAGACATTGGAGTACAACTCCTAAACAAAGGGAAACATAAACATGGATTTTTGTTGTATAGGAACACAAAAACCACTCTTATTTAGACGACAACGTATCCTTTGATGATAGTACTATTAATTTTTTTTGAATTTGGGATAACGTTTCTTGCAGTTAGGTTTGCATATGTGAGATGTACTGGCCTCACCTTGACTGTTCTTAGCTTCTTCAGAAGTATCACGCATCAGTTTCCTTCTATGAAACGAACAATCTTCAGCGTCCTTGAGATAGGCCTTTTTTGGCTCTTTACCTGTCGCCGATAACAACAATTTAAAGAACTTTCTCACATCCGCAGGTACTGAAGAAGGAAACTTATTGCTCATGTGATTCACAGTTTCATCCTCAGTGTAGCAGTTTCTGAAACAGAACATGTACTCATCGAAGAACCCTTTTTCATATTTGTCGTCAGCAATTCCATTAGCCGCCTCCATAGCCTTGAGTATTTTCTGAATAGCCTCGAGAATTCCTGCCGGTCTCATCTACAATGACACCAACAAAATTGATTATCAAGATGAATTGATAATTCTAGAGAGAACAAATGATCAACCATGCATAATAATTGATTTATCTTAGGATCAAACACAAGATTATTAAAACTGAGACTAAAGTGAGAGTAAAGCATTGTACATAACAATTAAAACTTTATATTTCTTATATTATCAAAAATGCCCTCAGAAAAATCTCTTGCAGATCACAAGAATTAAGAAAACGTGTTTGACATTAAGAAAATGAAAGAAAAAAGAGAGATCAAAAAGCAGCAAATTTGAAAACTCAGGACAAGACCCATAATGCAAGAAACAACAATCGGAACTGGAGATCAACTAAAAAATGGTACCTAGAATGTGTTAGTTTTTGCTCTGTTTTTTCAAGACCTATTAATTCAAGACACAAAGATCAGACAAGCGATCAACTAAAAACGTACCTTTGATTGAAGAAAAACACACGGAAATGTTTAGGAAAGAGAGGAATGAAACAAGGATTGTGATTAAGTGTAGGATGTGTAATGTGGTTAGTACTTGCTCTGTTATTTTATAGGCAAAACTTAATGACACATTACGAAAGATACAAAGATCAGACCTGGGATCCACTAAAAAATACCTTTGATTGACACGAAATGTATAGGAAAGAGAGCAATGAAACGAGGATTTGAGTAATCTGACGATGTGTTTAGTACTCGCTTTGCTTTATCAGCAAAATCGGCAATGGCATTGTGTTCACGTCTCTCTAATTTGCTAATTGAGTTAAGGGTTAGTTGGAACTAGGGAAGTTTATTTACAAAAAAAATAATCAACATTTCCACTAAAGTATCTACCCAAATTTGCAACGTTGAAAAACCAAAAAGAAACAAAAAGAGATTCTCAAAGCATAACAAACTCATCACTTGTTATAATCTTTCTTTGTTAGTGTTGCTTTTAATCTAAAATATCTTGAATGTTATTATAAAACATCCTGTTTTTATTGTCACGAAAATTATAATATTCGTTGGTTAATTACAATTTCTTGAGAAGGTAGTCTAGATGACACTAGAAACATTGTCGCAATTTATTGTGCATTAAGAGATTTAGTACCGTTTATCTTTTGTGTATATAATCAAAATTACAAATTTATAATCTCATAGTTTTACCCAAATAAATTACAAATCAATATGCAGAAAGAAAAGTTTGAGAAAATAATAAATAAATAGTCGTGACACAAGCAAAATCAAGGAGAGCTCGTCTCACCACCAAATGAATGTAAAAGAATTTTTGAAGTGACAAAAAAAAAAAGCGTTTTTGAGTATCTAGCTCCAACGTGTTTAGCTGAATCCAACTGTTTTCTTCACTTATGTAGCCCTTTTGCGAACCGAAGGAGCTCTGCTGGAACCTTTATCGAGAGAAACTTTTCGAGATGCAGTCATGGCTGATCTCTCTGCGATTCTTCTTTGCCTTTCCATTACAAGATTCTCTATTCTCTTCCGCATCTCTTCTTCCTACAATCCCAAAGCAAGAAACTAATTAAATTATCCGATAAAAACCGCTAAAGAAAATGCGATTATAAGATTTGTTCCTTACCTTTTCAAACTTGTTCTTCTGTGCCATTGTTCTGCTAGTTACTGTCGGTTTCTTTGCAGTCTTGGACATTGTTTCCGCTCTGGTTCTACTTGGAGTTCTAGACTTACGAGTTTCTGGGTTCTTCACAATGTTTTTCTTCTCGCCGCTTGAGACGGTCTTATCTTCTTTCTCCTGCGTTGTTCCGTTACTGGATAGCCTTGCATTTGCTTCAGCAGAGAAATCGATTGAATAATCATTAGCCAAAGAGTCTCCTGAATTGCGTTCAGGAATCATACAAAGATCATTTGGTTCCCATGAATCGTGTTTTTCAATAGCATGACCGTTGTCAATATCAGAGGCTAAAGCAATATCAGCAGCCATGTCTGGTCTCCACCGAGAGTCATAAAGATCATCAGCAGCAAGCGATGATGAATGGACCATGAAAGAATCATCAACAAATTCTTGTTTCTTGCACTTATCAGAACCTTGAGATGTCAAAATGCTGTCATCAAATGACATTCTCCCGTAGTTAACTTCCGGTTTCCCAGCACGATTACCAGAAGCAGTAAACCAATCCTCTCCACTCCCTGACTTCTTCACCAACGATTCACCCCTTGTAGCATTATACATGTCTTTGCTTTCATCTCCTAACATTTCTGATCTTTTAAGCAGTAACATACATTCTTCAGTCGAGTCCCTCGTTCTTGGAAGCCTACGAGCACTATCCTCACTTTCAAAATGATCAAAGCTCGCTCCTCCTCCATTTTCGAAGTATTTCTGAGTTGTGATGATGGAATCACCCGAGGCAGTGTTCTTTGTTTGCAAGCCGTTAGAATTCGCACCCACACTAGAGCTTCTACGGGTGAACTGCTCCTCATTGACGACATCCATCGAATGAACATCTGAGCCATCATCGTGCCTCATCAGAATATTCTGAAATGAATCCCAATTCTCGTTGCTTCGTTTTTCTTCACCAGAGACTTCTCCCTCATGAGCTCTCTTTTCGTTGAGCATTCCAACAGCAGCATCTACAGTCTCTTTGATGGAACCGTTGTCTGTAAATTCATTTCCCTCCATGTCTCCATTTCTTCCCTCGGGGGTTATGTAGTTAATATTACGGATAATAACAGTTTTAGATGACTTCTTCCGGTTTTTCTTTGATCGACGAGAGTTTTTACTCGTACGAGAGTGTCTTTTACCTTGATCTTCCAAAGATGAAGCAGAATCATCGCTGGCCGAGTCAGATTCACTAGATTCACTTGACCCGCTAGACTCATCTCCATCAGAATCCCCTTTCCCTTTTTTCTTGGAAGGTTTGCCCCTTGAAGGCCATGGCATGTTTCCTTGGTTTTGATTTGGCATATGTTGCATAGGAGGGTATGGATAGCCTTGGTACGGAGGCGGGTAGAAGTATTGAGGCATATGGTTCGGCCATCCCATTGGTGCTTGAAAGTTTGGAACACCGGACGGATGTTGCTCTAAATTAACTGACTTGTCATCTACAAATCAAAACTTCTTCCCATTAGATATGGACATATTTAGCCATCTAGCAGTGAAAGAATCAGAATCTCTGAGATGAAATACTACTAGGTAGTTTTATTTTCCGAACCTGTATTAGATGGTGTTGACTCGGTCCCATTTAGTGATAGAGCAGCACCTTCATTGTTGAGGATGATCCCTGAGGAACCCAATAATGACATGTCCACTGGAGCACACGCTTTCACAGCTGCTAATTCTGCCATCCAAAGCCCGTCTCCATGCTTCTTCTTCCATAGTTCTTTATATTTTACACATGCTTCCCTGTGTAATTGATCTCATGCATTTTAGCAAAACAAATGGAAGAAGATTGATGAAATGGTTAAGAAATATTTGCATACCTTAACCTTGACGCACCAAAAGCATCAGCAAACAATATGAGATCATCAATACTATCAATTTCATAACCAGCAACAACCCCTCGTGCATACGCCATCGCTTGCTCTCTTCGAAGTAATGTTCTTCTAGTTTCAAGAAGACGTTGAAGTTGAATCCTAAGAAATGAAACAAACACAAAAACGAAATTAGTCAAACTCACCATCGGTTGCATAACGCACCAAAAGAAATGTATATAGTTCCATAGTTCGAAGAGTTACTTGGAGGTTTCTTCCCCTACAACCTCATTGCCATTCTCAGATTCCTTCTGTGTAATACATTGAGAGAAAAAAAAAAAACACTCAATTGACCAAATCAATTACTAAAATAACACAGTACTACCACTTGAAAGCGCAAAGTTACCTTAGAGGACTCATTCGACTTCCTTAGATTAGTGCTATCTCCAGAATTACTCCCTGCAAATGATAAACAAAACAGTATTAAGATAATGTCAAGAACACTGTTTAAACCAACACAATTACCATTACAAGCTAGCTTTTAGTATAAGTTAATCCATTAGCTTACCGTCTTGTAATTGCAGAGCATCAACAGCAGCATTGGCAATTTCATTAGCTTGAATAGAATTCTCAATCTGCAAAATCTCTTTCTCCAAAGTCGCAAATCTTTCGATAATCGCAGGCGTGTTTACGAATCTCACAAACCTACAAATTAAAGAAACTTAATCAACAACAACAATTCAACATTTCTCATCACAAAAATTGACATTAAAACCAGATTTTCTACTCGAATTATCATAATCCAAATCTGAATTTCGAAATTGTCAACAAAATCGAATCATAAAATTTGAAATTACCGATCAAAAGTAGATTTGGTGAACCAAGAAGAGTGAGAAGAAGGAGGAGTCAGAGAGATAGAGTAACCGCCTTTAGAGATCTGATCTCTAGCGAATTTAAGATGGGAGACGAATGGTTCGAAAATTCCAGAAGCTAACTTCTCCTTCTTACTCCCACAGAAAAGCACCAGATCGAATCTTCAACACAAAAATCAAAAACACAATTCAAGATCAAAATTCAACAAAGAAAGAAAGATGAATCAATCAAAATGAGAAGTGAGACCTAGTGCGAGTAGGAGTGAGTTGAAACAAAGCGGAATCGAGTATAGCTCTAGAATCCATGGTGGTGGCTACGTAGAGAGAATAATTAGTGGTGTCTTCTTCGAAGGAAGAAGAAGATAAAGGCAGAGACGTGAAGGAGACATATTGACTTTTTTTTTTTTTTTTTTTTTTTGTGTGGATTCGAAGCTTTCGGTGACAGCAAAGGATGAGTTAAGGTCGGCACATGGTTGGGTTCACATTAGTGACTGACCAATACTATTATTTAGTGGTCCCACTCTATTATGTTTTATGCTCATCCTCGTCGTCGATTTTTTAATTATTTTTTTTTCCTAATCGATCCATCTTCTTATAATCAATCATAGACATTTGAAAGAAAAAAAAAAAATCAAACAACATAACAAAGTACCGTTTAGGGAAAGTGGTGTAAGCCCACCTCAACGGGCAGAAGTTATTCCTAATTGGCGTTAAATAGGTGAGTAGGTCCACCGACGGAACTCTACGGAATTCTTCATGACATTCTCCTTCTTTCATTTGAGTTTGTCCATGTTAGGTTTTTCTCTATCCTACGATGTGAGAATCGTTTAGTGGATGCTTTAGCAAAAGCTAGGTTTGTATCTCTTTCATCCTAATTGTACCCGGTTCCATCTGGTTTACTATCTAATTTATTGAAACTAGTATTTCGTATACAAAAAAGTAGAAAGAGAAAGACATATGAGAGACGGATGGGTACGACAAGAATGATCTAGGGAAAAAAAAAAAAAAAGAAGAATGATCTATGGAATTTTGGGTTATGAATTTTGGATTGGGAAATTGTTTTGTTATGGAAATAAATAGTTGGAAAAAATTGCAAGTGAGAATAAAAATATCCTAAAAAATTTTGAATGATCGAGAAATTGATTAATGTATATATTGAAAAGTTATACGAAATGTGTGATTTTTTAAATGAGAATCGAAAAAATTTTAGTGCATAAAATGGTACATATTTTAATATAGAGTAAATCATATATGAATTTGGAATTCGTTTGAAATGTAATATTTATTTTAATTCAGAATCCATCAGGAAGGGTATGAAAACTTTGCTTATTGTATTTGTGGAAATCTGATCACTCGAGATATCATGAGAAATTGTCATTATGTTCATTGAATTGTGTTTTCACTCAAGTATAGTTGACTAGCTAATCTTTCTTTTTTTAAAGGTTAAATTGACTAATCAACAAAAAGAAATATTACGAGAGTTTGGGATTAATTGGAAACTTTAAAACCTGTTAAAAATGGGGGAAACTGAGATAATGGAAATGAGACAAACATTTCATAATAATGGGAGGTTACATTTTGTTTCTTTTTTTAAATTTCTTTCTTATAGGTTAAGAAATAAACCACTCTATGATAAAAGAATAACACAATTAATCAACTTCTTACAAGAATGAAGTTAGTCGAAATAATGAGTAGTCAAAATTCACAAAGTACTTAAGTTAAGTACCATCAATTAAATTAAAATAGAATATAGGAGAATAAGCGTGTTTTTCACATTCATAAATTCTATTTTAATTTATTAATTGATGGTAATTATCTGCTTGTACGTGGTGTTGATGCTCTTTAATTAATCTCCTTTCGTCAACTTCTAACAAGTTCTTCGTGACTGCATCCGATGCCATGGTCAAGAACTCTGACCAGTCTCTGAACAATAGAAAACTAATTTTAGACACAATCACATTTACATTACCAAATAACAATTTAAGAGATATAAGCTTGTTACCTTATAGTTAGCGTATATTTAGTTGTTAACCATCAGATGAAAACATAATCAAATTAATTCTTTACTAATCATAGATTTGTCTACTCTATAAATAAAATAACAAGATTCCAATGGATATAGAACCTAAACATAAAACTATAAAAGTGAAACACCATTTGAAGCAAAAAAACTCTACATGCTACCAAAAATCTGACCATAAAATATAGCCGCAAAATAGAGTCACGGTTCATTCTTTAAATATGTGACGATTAAAACAAAAAGACTAATTGGCAAAATAGAGTCACGGTTCATTCTTTAAGGATATATATATATATATATATATATATAATGATGTGAGTATTTTTTTTTCTACCATTTTACTTTTTAGTTATGAGAAAATTTGAGTTTTTTCATATATATATTTTCAGTAACATTTTATCTTTTTATATATGTCTGTCTACTTTATCAAAGGAAGCTTCATATTTGTATATTTAGGGTTTATGTTTAGATTTGTTAGGGTGCCATGTAATAAATAGACATTTTACATTAGAAAAAACATGTTATAAAATATACGCGTGTAAAATCGAAAAAAAAAAACACTCTTTAAGTGCATGCAATAAATCAAATAAATGTTATAGTTATTTTTATCTTTTGTCAGTGACCTAATTTGCTCAAGTAAAAACCGTGTTTTGACTGTTTCAAATGTTGTATTTTCTAGTTGAATATTTTAACGTTTCAATGAGAGCATCCTTCAAGTGCTTTCATGAACTTATTTGCAAATATCAAATGTCGACGTATTTTTTCATTAATATATGTGTATTCCTATATTGCGTGTATGATTTCTAACAAATTCGTAAAAGAACCTGTAATCAAAATTCTTTAGCAAAAAAAAAAAAACTGTAATCAAAATAAAACATTCGAATGTTTCATAAAATAAAATGCTATGTTTTTCTTTTAAGCTATCGTAATATTGCCATGTTTTTTCTTTTAAGCTATCTTAATATTTTAATATGTAAAAATAAACTATATATTGCATTCACATGGTTAACAATCATAAATGAATATTTATACGGGAAAAAGGAAGAGCATACCCATTAGATGTATCAAACGTGAGTCCTACGGTATATTTTGCTTCCTCGAGAGCCAATTGAAACCTCCGGATCTCGGCAGCTGGACGTGTCCTGTCATCTTTTATGCAGAGTTCCGATGGCTTGACATTGCAAAATATAGGGATGACTCTTTTCTTGTTCTCCATGAGCAATGTGAGTTCGTGGAGACAGAAGTAAGAGTCACAGTAACGAGGAGAGAAAACCGCAATACCAACCCCGCATGCTTTGATTGCCATATCGATCTCGACGAAAAGCCTGTCCCCAGGCTTTAAACTCTTACTATCCAAGAAAGCAGTCAAACGTTGTCTAGTGAAATGATCATATAATAGGCCTGAAATAGTCTTCTTGGTATCGATCCCACGATGATTGATGAAAATATCACATGGGTTTGGGTAAGGTAGGGTTGGATTTGCTATGTATCTTGTTGTGTATACGAGTTTTGAGCAAGGTGCTAACAAACGTTGCATTGAACAATTTTGAATTGACGAGGAAGAAACGAAATGATTGTATCAAGCGAAAGAGTGATGAAGACTGGTTTTAGTATCTTTTTAATAATTGTTTATAGTATTGTGGAAGAAGAAATGGTTTTAGATTGGTAAGAAATAGATATGTGTCTCTATATTTATAAGTGATGGTTTTACGGTATTAGCTATGGTTTGTGAATAAGGTCCGAGAATTCCACATCGGATCTTGGATATTGTGCCACTTAATTTGTTTTTGTAAATATTCAAAAAATTGTGATTCTTCTCGCGCTAGTACTCAAGGACGAATTCAAACTTCTTTTTCTAACATTTGGACTTCAAGAAAATACTTAGTGTCTATTTGAAAATACTTCAAGAAACGAGTGAATTTATTCTTATCTTTGACTTGCAAGCATTTTTGTCTTTTCTCGTGTGGTTTGAAGAAAAGATTAAAAAAAAACCTTCAAAGACGTACATATACTTTATATCAAAAACTATTTATTAGTTATATTTGCGTCAAAAAGTATTTGCTACTTTTCCTTTGTTCTTTAAATACTAAACCCCGTTGAAAGAAGAAGTAAAAGTGTAAAACATCTTTGAAACGGTCACCATCCCAAAAAGTAGATAGTAAAAGCTACGTATACTAAGAGAAATGATCAACTGTATCTAGAATAAAAATATAAAATCAAAATAATTCATCAATAAAATAAACTTTTAAATTAAATGCAAATATTAAATTTAAAAGACACTCCATTTTTTTAATAAGATGTTTCAGAGATTTGTCTTTTTCTAACTCTTTTTTTCTTCTTATATATGTTTAGATGTTTTCAGTTTAGTCAATAGCTTATGTATAAATAAAACGGTTAAAAATTCAAACCGGTGGTACAATGTTTACATAACTAATATAATATTGCTTTGCCATTTGTATTACATATATTGTATTTTTACTACTCGTTAATTTTATGAAATAAAATATTAAACTTATAAACTATTTTGTTTTTACAAAAAAGAGAGGAATATATATATATATATATATATATATATATATTTATTTATTTATTTATATAATATATATATATATATATGTATATTATATATAAATATATAAATAATATTTCCTAACCAAAATTTCATATGAAAATAAATAGAATGTTCGAGATGTTGGGGCTGGGACAGTAATCCGAACCACAACCCTGTGTAATATATGAGTCTCCTCGAATACTCTTATGGAACCGTTGGAAGAAGAAGAGTTTGGAGAGTTTGCTAACATATATAGTGTCAAACAGAAATATCACAAGAATGAAGAGGGTGTGAAGAAATAATATATCAAAAATCTAGCCATTATAGGCCTAAAATCCTAGCCTAGTGCTACCCATATCTCAGAAGCTAATTCTCAATTCTATCACCCAAACTCTAAAGAGTTAGGCTCAAAAGGCAGGCCCATGATCCTTTTATTAAAATTCCTTTGAGGCCTTAACATGGCATGCATGCCTAAGAGCCTACTACTTCAGGATGAGGTCCACTAGACTCTAAGCATACATCAAGGTGAGTGAGCCCATGTCTTTTTATACCACGTCCTAGTGAGGTCCACCGAAAATGTAACAAAACATCCTAGCAGACGGCTGACCCATGACCTCATATCTCCTGATAAAGTCACCTCACCATATCTCTTGAACAACGTACGTCCTTCAACGACGAAGAAGATTCTTCGTACATCTCGTAGTGGCTGCATGCGACGAGTCGATTCCTAAAAATATCATCAATAATTTGAAACTCTTGATTATTGATTATATTACTAACTTGGAAAATTATGTTGGTATACCAAATTTATACACGAGTATTAGGATTTTCTTTCTACATCTTCATAGTTTACTAGAGTTTCAATTGCAAACGAAAAACACATTGGTAAAACAATAATTTAAAACATATATCTAAGAAGAGGATTCCCACATTTTATATTTTTTTTATAAAATCTTACACAAAAACCAAAATGAGGTATGTGCGTGATGTGTAGCATAAGAAAGGCATGACATAAGGCAGTTCGAAAAAAACCTGCCTTTTCTCCAAAATTTAATGCCCATTGGCCGCTAATTTTGGGCCCCACGATTAGCCACGTGTCATTTTCTCGTCGAGGGACCCAGTTCGGTACTCATATGCTCACACAAACCTAACACCTATTTCTTCTCGCATCTTATATGAAACACATTCACTCTCCAATAATCTCTATACTTTTCCTACATACTCTCTTGAAGATCATGAGACTGATTTCGTGAAAAACAGTCATTTTTTTTTGTTTTAATTTGAAAACCGAGTTAATGGAAAACATGGGGGATTCGAGCATAGGGCCGGGCCATCCGCATCTCCCTCCCGGGTTTCGGTTTCACCCGACTGATGAGGAACTAGTAGTTCATTACCTCAAGAAGAAAGCTGCTTCTGTTCCACTTCCCGTCTCAATCATCGCCGAGATTGATCTTTACAAGTTCGATCCTTGGGAGCTTCCAAGTATATATGAATTATATATTTCCTAATTTATGCTTGATGTTTTGATTAAAATGTACAATTTAATCTTACTATGACCACTGAAATCTACCTACTATTTAAATTTGGTATAGATAGAAATGACCTCTCGGTTAATAATATTTTGAATGGTTTAGGCAAGGCGAGTTTTGGAGAGCACGAGTGGTACTTCTTTAGTCCTCGGGATCGGAAGTATCCAAATGGGGTTAGGCCCAATCGAGCAGCAACTTCCGGTTATTGGAAAGCAACGGGAACCGATAAACCGATATTTACGTGCAATAGTCACAAGGTTGGTGTCAAGAAAGCGCTTGTTTTTTACGGTGGAAAACCACCTAAAGGGATCAAAACAGATTGGATCATGCATGAATATCGCCTCATTGATGGTAACCTTAGCACTTCGGCCAAGCCGCCTGACTTAGCCACGACAAGGAAAAACTCACTACGGGTATGTGAAAAAATGATCTAAGCATCTTCTTACAAATTTTGGGTCATCAAATTTGCGTCTCCGTATATATATATCTAATTTGAGTCTCCAAAATAAGGTCCACATATTATCACCAAATGGAAAATGTATTTTGTTGTTGGTAATGAAACGCCAAGCTACTATAATAGAACATCATAAGGAATATTCTAAATTAACCCTACGTATGTTCGTACAATATTTCAGCACCCTAAAATTTGTAGAATTCAAATTTATGACATTTGCCACCATTATTATACTTTTATTTCAATCTACAATATTGTTTCACGTGGGAAAATCATACCAAAATCTTTCCTTTTTTGGGAAAACACCCAAGATACGCTTCTGGTTGAATTAATGCGACTGACGTTATTATTATATAGTTTGGTGTGTTGATTTGTACCACAAATCAAAATTTTGCAGCTAGACGATTGGGTTCTATGTAGGATCTATAAGAAGAATAGTTCACAAAGACCAACAATGGAGAGAGTATTACTTAGAGAAGATCTAATGGAAGGAATGCTCTCAAAATCATCTGCTAATTCTTCTTCCACATCAGTCCTAGACAACAACGACAACAACAACAATAACAATAACAACAATAACGAAGAACACTTTTTCGACGGTATGGTTGTCTCTTCAGATAAACGTTCCTTGTGTGGTCAATACCGTATGGGTCACGAGGCCTCAGGATCATCTTCATTCGGATCTTTCTTATCGAGCAAGAGGTTTCATCATACAGGTGATCTCAACAATGACAACTACAATGTCTCTTTTGTTTCAATGCTTAGTGAGATTCCTCAGAGTTCGGGGTTTCATGCAAATGGAGTTATGGATACGACGTCGTCTCTAGCTGATCATGGGGTTTTAAGACAGGCGTTTCAGCTTCCTAACATGAACTGGCATTCATAATCTATATTAGATAAATCTGTATGTATCATGTTCATGTATGTATCTACGCACGCCTAATATAGTTTACACATATATCATCTGGGGATATATATATATATATATACAAACACACGATCTTACAAATGTATACGTATATGTTTACGTCAAGAAAGGTGTATACGTCTCTTTTTACTCCATGGTTGCAAATTAAAGATGTGTACTAATAACAGAAGCTGATTTATACAATATGATAGTATATTTTTTTCCCTATATAAGTTAGCTACATTAAATATGCCACATGTTAATATATAGAATAACATTATGCAAAGTTTGGTTCAATTTTTTATTTTTATTTTCATTTTCCCATAAAGATAATTTACTGTTTAACTATGAAGTTGATTTTCTCACGTAGTATATCTTCCATGTGAATTATTTTAAAGAAAACTTAACGTATATTTCGATGTCGGCTACTAATCGCCAATCGGACAAACAAATATTGAAGCAAACCACTGAAATATGCAATTCAAATAGGCAATTACAACAAAGCGGGCTAGAAATTGTTGCAAATTTAGAACCGATCTTCGTCTTCAGGATCGAGATTCAATCAATTTATCTCACTATCATTACACTCCATAAACACGTACTAATAAAAAAAACTATGAGAAAAAAATAGATATGAAAATATGGAGAAGAAGAGAAGTGGAAGAAAATGACACACCGGATTTTATGAGTTGAGGTTGGCTAGAAGTATTCCTTGCATTTCTTTAGCTAATCAGATCAATCTTGAAACATCACCATACACTCGATCTGTTTATAAGTAGAGGATCAAATGGTCTATTTCTTAGTTGGGTTGTTACAAAATCTCAAAACTGACTCCGTTTAGCTCGATGGACCTTAAACCAATATTTAAACCAAGATTCCATGTTACTCGAACTGTACCCACATTTAAACCAACATTCAAATTAAATTTCAGTTCCTCATAAAAACTCGTTTTTGTTGTCTCTCCACATTTGGGGTTTTGCGATTTTAGATTTCGTACTAGAATGATTCTTGAATTTTCGACGACGACCCTTCAATCTTTGCCGGTACTACTACTCGATCTTCCAGTCACTTGTCAGTTTTGAAATCAAATCAGCTAGTAGATGTTCTGTTCTTCCTTCTATTCTCCTACTTTGCATTGACTTTCTCATCTAAACTCTGATTCTCCCATGTAAGTGTTGGAACTTGTTTTTGACAAAATGGTTTTGACCATTGTTACGGTGGATTTTTTGGTGAAGACGTTCATCGGAATAACCGGATTTCGGGCACGATGGAATCGTAGCTATACGAGCACTAAATAGTGGTGTATTTAAATGTCAAAAGCGGGGTTTGTTTCATAGAGAAATAGATGTCCAAAGTAAGTACCTTGGAAAGCTTGGAATTTTGACTTAAAGTCAAAAGACTTAAAGTATTTTGAAAATTAGAGGAGAAATCCAATCATATATGGGCTTTATGTTGGATTTGAGATTTGGGAAATGGACTTATAAACTATGAGTTTATTCTTATTTTGATTTAAGTTATTGATTAAATCAACAAATATCTTCATTAATATTGAGTTTTTTGTATGGTAACAAAACAAATCTCATTGACGACAATTAAGGGCTGAGGATAACAATTCTCTTTAATTGTGTCATTAAGGTGATATTCTCCTCATTATTGCCATGGAAGTTGAGCTCTTTGCTATAAATTTATGGTTATTATCTCCCACTCTAATGATAGATCAAAGTATCAAAATCCCTCTTTTCTCTCTTCTTCTCTTATGTAGTTCGAGTCTGAGAGTACTCTCATAAATAGTGTTCGTGAGATTCTGATCTTCGGTGTTGGAAGACAGAAAGAAAACCACAGTTTTATCTTGAGAATCTTATCGCTACGAAACCGTCGCATTACAAGGAGTTTAGAGATTTAAGGAAAGAGAACAGAAGTATTAACTCTGCAAATTCATTTTGATCTTTGCATTTTGGTATTGTAGTTGTGATTTTGTTCTTCAATTTATCTTTTAATTATCAGTTGCTTTACTTCAGTATAGTCAATGCTTATAAGTGTAGCAACCTTAATTTCTACAACAAGGAAACTGATAATTGAATGATAAATTGATGAAAAAAATCACAACTATGTACCAAATTGTAAAGATGAAAAGGAATTGCAGAGTCGAGACTTCAGATCTCTTTCCTTAAATCTCTAAAAACGTCTGAGTTGACTGCTATCTTCGCTAGAGATCATGTTTCACTAGAAACATTAAGGGTTGTTATAATATTTTTATGTTAATTTTGGATTCATCAGTGGATATTTTTTACGCCGTTAAACACAAGAGATTCTAGTGCTCCATGAACCTTAACTAGTCTTGGTTTTACTATCACTAGATAAGTGAAGGACCCTAGCATTTTATGATTACGTTGACTAGATCTATCATGTCAGCGGGATTAAATGAGTATATCCATGTCTTACTTCCCTGTCCATATTTCGTCCACCTAAATATTGAGTCTAGCTTCGATGACGGAAATTTCAATTTAACAATGGGATATATAGTTGCTCCTAACTTCATACGAAACAAAGTACTGTAGCAAGTTTAATTTGGGAACATCAAACAAAAATATCGTGGAGATAGTCGAATAGTAAGCATACTGTATTTAAAGATGGATAAGACATAAAATAAAACCATTCCATTGGACCCTCGTTGCTCCTATAAATGCAATTCCACAAAATTGAATTCCTCGAGAACATGGCAACTACATAGAAGAGTTTCATTGACATCATGATATCCTTCGAAACCAACTGAATCAATACATAAAGTCATAAGCATAGGAAAATGGTCAACCCTTAGATAGAGGGGTCTAAGGCAAATTTTCTGTTAGTCTATTATTAAAAGGTTTGGCAAATTTTAAAGTTTTCAAAAATTAGGAGTATATTGTTGCAATAAAAAGAAAATTCGAGAGCCTTAATGTTTCATTGATGGGCTTTAAGATTTTGGGGATCCTAGGTTAATATTTCACTCTACTTGATATAGGATCCACCCTGCATAAGAAGAGTAAAACCCTACTTTGCTAGTAAAAGTTACAGCTTCATTTATAAGAAATATTTAGAATCGGTCAAGGAATGTCATAGGTTTACTTCTGCTTCGAAATCAATAAACTTTTGGAATCTCGTTTTTATGGCGTTTTTGAAAAATGTATTATGAAGTGGAAGCACCGAAGTTTCGTCAAAGGACGTTTCTATTTTAAGATTTGATGTCTCAAATAAATAAGTAATGTGAAATTAAGTTTGATAGTATTTTTTTTTCAATTCAAAAACCCAAAAATGAATTTTCTGATTTAGACTTTTTGCTTATTAATCTTCGTTTATTTTTTTAAATATAATGTTTTGAAAAAATGGCAATGGCATGAATCAATTATGAGATGGTGGAAGTGGTTAATGGTTATGGTTTTTACTATCTTAAATTATTTCAAGCAGTGAATTACGCTTAAAAAATAAAAAAGAGGTGAATTCAAAACACGTTGTCAACTTCATTGCTCATCACCTTCAATATCATTATTTTTTGTTTCACTCTTTCGTCTTCTGAGTTTCCTGCGATACTGTTTAATTGTTGCGCATTCTTCAGTGAAAAAACCAACTGCACCTAGGGTCCTTCATGTACTAAATGTATTTTCTTAACAAAAAATAGTAAAAATGCTTTCCAAATACATTCATCATATTAAAATTGTAAATAAAAAATAAAAGCATTCCATCAAATAGTAAAAAGTTTTTCTTTTATTTTACTTGAAAATAAATAGTAAAAAAATTTTTTTGGTAAAAGATAAATAGTAAAAAGTTTATATCTTGGAAACTGTAATCCTCAATATAATCACAGTATAGAAAATACGTTATAACTTCACAATACACAAATAATGTTTGATTTTCACAGTATAACGGTTTTGATAGGGGAACTCATTAGTATTTGAGGTTCGAAACTCTTCTTCACTACAAAAAATATATCTATCTCATTATCAGTCCATTTTTTTTTGTGTGGATCAAAACGCAGCATGAAATAAAAACTAATCACGTTTTTGTAATGATCATTAAGGTTAGTTACAGAAAAGAAAATATTCCAGGAAAACAAATAGAAAGGAAAAGAATCTATTCAACTATTCTTTTATTTCCATGTGGAGATGTTCCTAGTTTCTGGATCTCTGTACCTATCACAATGTACATGGTCCCCAAAAATCACAATGAAATAATTTTTTCAAACATTTACGATAATTCATGCGATAAGAATCATGGTCACATCGTACTCTATCATTTAATGGCCTAGGAAAAATCGTGCTGTATATGTGGTTCTGGACCTTATGGTTCGCCATCACTAAGTGTCTAAGTGTCTAAGTTGTACAAACTTATATAGATTGATACACATTGCAAGAAAACATGCGGATGAGATCATTTTCCGGCCAGCTAATGTCAAAAGGACATGTTTTTCTCTAGATATATAGTTTATGAGGTTCTCTATATCGCGTTTTTCACATGATTGATTTTATGTAACTATAAAACAATCGTACGAAGTGAAGTCTTATATAATTAGACAATTAGTCAGAGCTTGCAAACTGATGTAGCGCGTAGATTTATAGTTAAAGCATATCCTATTTTTATAGGTATAATATTTAGAGTTTTGTCTTTTTTTGGTTACAAATAGCTTACATATGTTTAGGGTTTTGTTCCGTTTTAATATTGATTAATAATTTAGGCTCCGATTGGTGACAAAAAAAAGAACAATAGGAACATGAAAAAAAAGGAATGAAAATGAACAAAAAGGAAAGGAAAATGATCAAAACCAGGAACCAAAAGGAACATAAGAATAGAACAAATGATTATGGTAAATGGTAACAAAAAAATTGAACAAATATTTAACATAATAATTATTAAAAATTATGTATTTTATTTAGTTTATAAATTTTATTTAAAATTAATGTTTTATTTTAATTGAAACGAAATATAGTATAAATTCAAATATTTTATTTTAAAATAATATAAATTTCACTTGAAAGCATTTATTTATTTATTTTAGTATAAATACTAATTTAAAACAAAGTCATAAGATTCATTTAAATTAAAGTATTGATAAAAGTTTTTTTATACATAAATATATAATAAAAATATAGGAATTATTTATGTATAAAAATGTAAATATTATCAAAAAAAGCTATTTTAAAATTATTTAAAAATTAAAAACGAATTTTAAATTTTTGTTCCTTGTTGTTCCTCTACAATTTTGGGGAGGAACAATTTTGTTCTATCATTCTTTTTTTTTTGAGGAATGAAGAGGAAAATGTAGAACCCACATGTCGGAAAATGGAACAAAGATTCCTTATAAATGGTAAAAAAAATTGAGGAACAAAAAGAACATGACATTCCTACTCATTCTTTTCCTCAAAATTGGTTACCAATCGGAGCCATAGAGTTTTTCTCTCAGTTGGTTTTTGGTATATTTAAATAAAGATCTCAACGAATAAAATAACTTTACTTATTCTGAGATTTTCATGCTAAACAAACAATCTTATAATCAACAAATCACTAGTTTATTCGTAGAAACTTCTACTATTACATAAATGTATGTGGTTCTACCTCTGGTTCATCACCAATTTGTACAAACTTGTTTCAATATTAAGACATGAAATAAACATGGAGAGGAAAGGATTGTCCGCATCAAGACAGTCTAACAGGACGACAATGTTTTTGTCAACATATGGGTTTTAAAAAAGGAAAGCTTTGTAGTTGCATTTTTACATTAAAGTTCATAGACAGTGGCGACCCAGAACAATATTTTACCGGAGTTAAAATTTATTTTAAAAAAGTTTTATTAATACATTTTCTAAGTTCATATATTCTCCAAATAATTTATTAGTTTTCTTATTTTTAGTAGTTAAAAAACATTTAAAAGAAATCTTAAATTTAATTAAATATATAAAAAAAAAAGAATGATGAAACCCACGTTTTTAACTAATAATAACAAAACAAAAAAAAAAAAAACTGATTTCCTTTTACCGAATTTGCTAGGAATAAAAAAATAAAATGTCAATACGATCAAATTTAGTATTTAATTAAAGATTACAATATGAATATCTTATAGAAAAAAAATGGAAACTAGAGTTATTAGCAAAATATACAAAAGGAATACAACATTTTTGGGGGAAAAACAAATTGAATAAGGAATTGGGTGCAGAAATTATGTTTATCAAAGGGTCAATTAAGGATAAGTGCTTTAATTGGTAAACAACTCCTTAATATTAAAGGGGTCAGTTGACCCTCCTAAGTTGCATGTGGTCCGCTCCTGTTCATAGAAGCCCTCTAAACTCTATATAAAGACACCAAATTTCGAACATATGAAGCTAAAACTTTTCTAGAAATAAAGAAAAAAGAAACAATGAAATTCGAGAATTGCTTTACTTCCGATCTCTATGTTTTAGCAGAGGAGATTAAGAGAGAAACATTTGAATTGGATAACTTTAATATGAAACCTTATTCATTTGTCTCTCCCTCGGCTTATGACACAGCTTGGCTAGCCATGATCGAAGATGTCGGTACCCAGACTCCGATGTTTCAAGGTTGTGTAGACTGGATTCTGAGCAATCAGAACGTTGTAGAAGGAATATGGGGGAGGCACCAAGATGACAATGGAGATGAAACTCTGACTTCGACAATTGCTTGTGTTGTAGCACTTCGCAAATGGAACATTGGAAGTCTTCATGTCCACAAAGGTAATCGTTACGTCGACCCGTTTTCACTATGGACCTAATTATCCTTTTGGTTTGTACGTGTTGGAGTTGAATGAAAACTATACAGATATTAAAATTACATGCATTACGTACGTTTCACATACAAGTAATGCATTTTGCACTAATACTAATTATAAACATCATGATTAATTAGGGAAGAGATATATAGAAAGAAGTACGGAGAGGATTCTTGGGAAATATATCAACTCCAATAAAAAGGGATCTTGTCCTCGTTGGCTCGTTCTCATGTTCACCGGACTCGTCGAGCTTTCTCAACAACTTGGCCTACAATTTCTCTTCTCTACTCGAGTGAAGCAAATGATAAATAACTTGTTCTTCCAACGCCAAGAGATTTTCCACCGGTACGTCTCAAAAATTAATATAGTATATTTGTTATATTTTTGATGATCCAGCGCTAACTAGCTCATCTTTATTCTAGTTGGAAATTTATTTGTATAAATAATATATACATGACACTAATGTGAATAATCATTAGGCTTCTAACTCAAATAAATTTTCAATTTATAATCAATTGGCAATGAGATATTTTTTTTTTGGTCAAGATTGAAATTATTCATGTCTCTCACTTATCTAACTATATAACTAATATATATTTTTGTAGAGAAAAACTTGTGGATGGCCATTACCAACGGCAGTCTCTGCTTACGTATCTAGAAGTATTGCCATCGACATTTTACGCCGAAAATCAAGAACACATCGTTGAGATACTTGGTGATTCAGATGGCTCTTTGTTTCAGTCACCCTCAGCAACTGCAGCAGCGTATATGCTTTCAGGCAATACAAAGTGTCTGGCTTATCTTCAATCTCTTGTACAAAAATGCCCACATGGAGGTTAACTTTTAGTTTTATTTTTTTCCACATTTTTAATCAAGAAAAAGTATTAATAGCTTGATAATCGTTTTTTTTTTCGGTATTCCTTATGTATGTGCTTATTTATTAAATACAGTGCCACAAATTTACCCCCTGAGTGAAGAACTCATCAAACTCACTATGGTCAATATAATGGATAACTTTGGTTTAGGAGAGTACTTCGGTGAAGAGATTGATCGTTTTCTTCTTCAAATTTACAAGTGAGAAATAATATAAAACAATCTTATGATCTTTGATTCTTTATAATGAAGTAATTAATTAATTAACTTATATGTTTAATAATATTATGCACTTTGGATTATATTCTCTCTCTCTCTTTGTCCTTAGGAGCCACGAAAAGGAGGATGTCGAGAAAATGCCCATATGTTCAAAAGTAGATCAGTTGCATAAAGCCTCTCTCGAGTTTCGAATGCTGAGAATGAACGGCTACGATGTTTTGCCCAGTAACGAACTAATTCTCAATATATATCTACAAGTAATTATATTCCTACGATTCCAAATTTTATTTTTCTTTTCATTTTCACATAAACTTGATGTAGGGAGCTTTTGCTGGTTCCTGAATGACGAAGAAATCCGAGATCATCTAGAGACAAACATTGAATGTTTATTCTTTGTAATGTTAAGTGTTTACAGAGCAACTGATCTCATCTTTCCAGGAGAGTGTGAACTCGAAGAAGCTAGAGAGTTTTCTCGGAAATTACTCGACAAAAGTCAATTTATCGATGAACAAATTGTGCCTACTTTTCACATTAAACATGAAATAAGTACTCCATGGATGACTCGACTCAAACATCTTGACCATAGGATGTGGATTGAGGACAAGGACTCAAATGCTTTCTCAATTGGAAAAGCCTCTTTGATCAGGTATATATTTTTAGTCAAATATATATACTTGCAATCGAATATATATCAGATTATATGTTTACAATAGCAAAGCTTACTATGCTTTTTAAAAAAATATTGTTGGAACCATATTACACAGTATATATAGCGACAAGCTTACTCATCTTGCTCTGAGAAATTTCGAACTTCGACAAGCTATATATCGACATGAGATGGAGGACCTGATGACGTAAGTATTGAGACATCTTTTGTGATAAGACCCTATAAACCCTATATATGTCAATCATGGTATTCAAAGTTGTTTTTTTTAATTTAATCAAGGTGGGTGAAGAAATCAGGACTTAACGATATCGGATTCGGAAGAGAGAAGACAACATATTGCTATTTTGCAGCTTCATCAAGCACCTCATTACCTATTAAAACCGCAACTAATATTCGTAAGCTTATGGCAAAGAGTGGGATCCTTATTACAGTTGCTGATGATTTCTTCGACGAAGAAGGTTCTTTTGATGAATTGGAAGCGCTTACTAAAGCTGTTATAAGGTACATTGGTTAAATTTTTTGTTATACACGTGTGATTAGAAACAATCAATAACCTAATAAATTATCTATTTTTGGAATCCAATTATTCAATTGATTCTTGATTGAAAATATTGTCTACGTATAAATGATAGATGGGAAGGAGAAGAGCTTAAAGGTTACGGCAATATCATATTCAAAGCACTTGATGACCTCGTAAAAGTGACTGCTGAAACTTGCCTTAAGGGTCACGGAACTGACATAACAAACCATCTACGCAACATTGTAAGTCTTTATAATTTAAGTTATTCTTAATTTTGCCATGTTTTATTTGTGGGGATTAACCTTGAAATAACTAAATCAATAAAATAATCATATGTTGAATAATGAAGTAAATATGATTACGCAGTGGAGCGAAACATTTGAGTCGTGGCTACGTGAAGCCAAATGGAGTAAGAAGGGATACATACCATCGATGGAAGAATATCTTCGAAATGGAATGATCTCAATCGCAACACACACCATTGTTCTTCCTACTTTGTGTCTTATGGAATCTTGTTTTCCCGAACACAAACTAAAACGCGGAAATTATGATAACATAACAACATTGCTCATGACCATTACCCGACTCCTGAACGATCTACAGAGTTACCAGGTGATGTCAATCTCTATAATACCTAAATTTTTCTACTATACATGGATACATTTTACTTAGGGTTACCATGTTTTATAGTTGATTAGACATGCCAATTAGAACACCATGTTATATAGCTTAATAGACATGTCAATTAGGAGCGATATCCGATCCGAAAGATAAGAGTGTGTGACAACAACATTCGGACCAGGCCAGGCTGGGGGTTAAAAATACATTTTAGATCAACTGAATGGAGTCTAGCTTGACTAGTTTACTGGTTTGAACATTTCTAAAGTCTATGCACCATATCAACTTCAAATCTAAGAAGATATTTTAGATGCAATTGGGTATCTATCGATTCAAATATCGTAGGGATACTCGTTCTTAATTAGTTAGTTGTTATTAAGTTTTGGATAAAATTAAAAGTTATGTGAAGCTCTTTATCTTTTAGGCATATGAGGTGCTTTTCTTGTACTTGTTGACCAAACTTGTAATATTGAAATTTGCAGAAGGAACAAGAGCAAGGCAAGATCAACTCCGTTCTGCTCCACATGAAAAGTCATTGTGGTTTGGAGATAGAGGATTCGGTTGCTTGTATTGAAAAGATCATTGATTTGAAGAGGAAAGAATTTATGGAGCATGTCTTAAGGAATAAATTCAGTGATTTGTCTAAACCATGCAAAGATATTCACATGTCTTTATGCAAAGTTTTTGAGATGTTCTTCAACAAAAAGAATCGTTATGATTCGGATACGGAGATGCTTGAAGACATTAAGAAGGCTCTTTACGATCCCATCAACATTCGTAAATAAATCCTCCGAGAATTATCCAACGTTCTAGTGAATTTCTTAATCTGAATTTATGTATGCATTACTAAATAGTCATCATGTAATAGTTTTTCTCCATCTATATCTTTTTTTTTTGTCACTGTTGAAAGGTTTTTCAAGTTTTTTTTTTATTTTATCTTAAATAAAGTAACAATTTAAAATTGAATCTACTCTGGATTTGTTGAAAACCTTTTGGTATCCTAATTAAGTTTTAATCAAAACAACGGGTCGAGTGAGATTTTTTTCTCAACTCTTTGTGGGAAGGTAAAGTGAAACTCTCGTGTTCAAGAATCTACAAGAGGTAGCATCGCTAGTTGCGTTAAAGAATTCGGCTTTCACAGTTTAGGTTTTATATTTTTATAATGATACAATTAAGGCTTTAGAGTGTAAATATTTGAATCTACCATTTGTTGGCATACTAATTTGAAAGTCAAGACTTTTATAAATAGTTAGCGAGATTAAATTAGAAGGAAATAAAACTTGTGTAGACCGTACTAAATTTAAATTTTGTTCTGAATCAGAGATTATTAAGTTGTGGAGCATAATTTCTCTTCGACTATGTGAAGAACTATGACAAATTTTATACTAAAAAAATGTTTTAAATAAGCTATTTTGGATATATTTTTATGTCTGTATTTGTTTCAATAGAGGATTTATTTTCCGCGTTTATTTTTAAACAAACTCATTGATGTATACATAAGAAGAGAAATAGTTTTTAACTCCTGTATTGATTATTATGGAAATCCAATTTGCGAAAACAGACATTGAAAAAGAATCCCTATAAATTCTGTGTGACGTTTTGGAAGTCCTATCTAACATAATTATCCCTTAATTAGACCATGGCCATATCTATAAGATATACATATGTAGTCAACCTTAGTATATCATGGATCCGGAATCTGAAACGCACCTGAAAATAGAAACGTTACTAACCATTAGAATCATGGTAGACCCGAAATGTATTTATCGATACGTATTTAAGTACGGAATAACATCATGCTGATGCTGGTCACAGACACAGTGGCCAAATCAAATCCCACTTTGACTGGTTCCATATAAAAATGAGATTAGCGTGTTTGATTTTTCCAATTTGAATATGTATAACTACCACGTTAAAAAAAAAAAAAAAAGGAAAAGAAACAAGCATGTTTAATGCTTACTTGCATTTTTGCATGACTGACCATTCTTATGCAAATTATTGTCTCGCACAAACATAAATAGAGCCTTCCAAGAATTATTAATTCATCAGGAAGGAATGGTGATCTAGTGGCTGTACGAAGGAGTTGGTTCTTTTGTACACCGAGTTAAAAATCCCTGTTGAGACGGAAAAGCATTCTTTAAATCAAAATAGACTAAAAATTGGCTTCGGATATTGAAAAAGATTATAGGCCAAATTTTTTTTTTTATTCGTCTCCTGTTAACTATTAGATCATATCTGGATCTATCAGTATTATCAGTTCAGTCATTATCCGATACACAATAGCAAATAATAACCATCTATCTATCACTCATTCACAATCACGTAAATTATAATATATATATATATATATATATATATATATATATATATATATATATATATATATTCAGAAAAAAAAAATTAGTACCCACACAGCTATTTTCGATTAATGTTTTTTTTTTTTATAGTAGATTTTTCGTATTTCTAACTCAGGGAGACAATCCTCCGCAACTTATTGAGAACCATAGCATTTATGTTGTACTATAATCAGTTTCACGTATTTATCTTCTATTTTTTTTTTTTTTAATTTAAATGAATCATAGAAGCAATGTTTATGTATACTCAACAACTGAAATAGAAACAAACTAATTTAAAAAATGTGTTCATGTCGTTGCGAATATGATTTCAAACCTGTGAATTTCATATTGTTGATATGATCAAATTTTGAACAGTGGACATAGACCGATCCATCTCTTCGTCTCTGGCCCAAGTCTTCTCCTTAATTATCTTTTTTATTTTTTTGGCAAAACTCCTTGATTATCTTATACACAGTAAAAGACTGGTAAAACCAAGTCACTTAAGTTTGTGATCATAAAACAAAATGTGTTCAGCCAACGCTTATATAGTAAATGGATGAATTCGTTACTTCAACTAGTAGAAAAAAAAAATTGAAGTCACTTAAGTTAAGACTTTTGACGAGTTTTTGAATTTTCGTTTTCCTCGTTGTTTTGTTGTCTTTGAATCAATTAATTGGTTACATACATGGTCAACTTATAGTAGTGGTACATGACCATCCTTCGTCTATTCCCCATCACGAGAATTAAAGGCAATTGACAAAATAGTTCTAGTCGGACTATTATTTGATGATGAATTTTGCATGTTTCACGTTTTCTACGGTTCCGTCTCCTTATTGGTGCTACAGACAAGTTAAATAACGTATACACTAGATCATCACCCGTACTAAAGTACGGGTTGAATTTTATTTATTACAAAATTTATATAATATATATATTAGAACTAAGTTTTAATATATTATAATAGTAAGTGAAAAAATATTAATTTTTTTGTCAGTCCCTATATACAATATTAGAATAAATATAGAATTTTTTTCTTTAATACTCAATTATGGATAATTTTTTTTTAGATATGAAAATGGAAAATAATTTTATTTTTTAAAAAGTAATATTTTTTGAACAATGAGTTAATTTATGTTAACAACCGCAAAATAGGATTGCATATATTTCTGTTAGATCAAAAATTAAAATATCATAAATGAATCGCATATAAAACATAGATTATTTTGAATTAATTAAGAAAATTAGCTATTATTTTGAATTAATTTAGAAAATACTTTTTCAATTTATAATTCTTTGGTTGTTGAAATAGAGATTTGTTTGAGCTAATCTAATTACAAAATTTGTTTGAGATTTATAATTACGGAATTTACCAATTATTCGCATAATCGAATATGTTATAAACATATATTTAGTATATAATAATACCAAAATCAACCCGTGCGTGAAGTCTATACTTTTATTTTAGAATCTCAATATTTCATTTTAAAATATTGCGTGCACAATCTATTATTCGTTACTTCTAAAATTGCTTGCGGAATCAAATTTTCAAATATTTAGAGATGTCAAACCATATTTAAATGTTCTACACTATTTTTAAATATTCCAAATTACAATCTTTAAATTTTTTTGTAGTTTATAAAATTATGAATTTCAAAAACAAATTATATGAAATTAAATATAACTATTCAAATAGTTATAAGGATCAAAACTCATTTCATCGTATAATATATTATATTTAACCCGCTACCTATTATAAATATTTTTAAAAATAATCAAATTAGAGTATTTATAATTTTTATCTTTTTGAACTATTAAGTATTGATGATATTCTCTAAAAATATCAAGTAAAACTTATTTTAAATGTTGCAAATTAAAATATTAAATTTTTTATTGTAGTATATAAAATTATACATTTCAAAAAAAATAAATGTATGAAATCGAATATAAATATTCAAATTCTGACCCGTTGCTCAGTCAGAATTTTTGTTGACTTTATTTTGGTGTAAAAGAAATATATTACTCAAGTCTGAATTTTTAACCCGTTTAATTGTTTCTTTTATAGATTGAACAATTTATATGCGTTTTTTAAAATTCAAATCTTGGCATATGCAGAAAAAAAAATAACTTTTTTTTTATTATGTAGATGATATGATGATTTATTTGTTTCATATTAATATAATCATATTAAGATGAGCTGTGAAGTTTAATGATTAATAATAAATTAATATGGTAAGTTAGATATCAAATCTTATATGTTCATTTTGATTGGTCATTTAAAAAAAAAATAATAATAACATATTTTCCTTTTATAATTTAATTAAATTAATTAAATGACATAAATTAGTATTTTACTTGTTTATCCTTAATAAATTGAATGAAATTTGTTCTAAAAGAAGATTTTTGTAATGACATTCTTAAGTAAATTCTTACAAAAGGAAAGGTTAGTTAAGGGTATCTTATAAAGTGTACTCCCCAAATAATAGTATAGGATATATATTATATTGATGGAACGTATATAATATTGATGGAGCTAGGATTATTGAAAAGTAACCAAGAAAAAATAAAATCGGAAAAATATCAAAGAAATCTTCAACTGTCAAAAAAATACTAAGAAGAGCTCTAACTATATCTTGGATAAAATATTTTGCTAACTTGTATTTACTAATCGTTAAATTTTATTTATTTTAAACGCTAATTTTGTTGCCTTTGCCAAATAAATTACGTCGTTAAATTGACGAACTAAATATTAGTTTCGGTAGTCAATTTACCCACGTGTTTTTATTTGACAAAATTAATAAAAGTTAACGATTAAAATAAACAATTAACTAAATATTAACGATTAAAATAAAAAATCAATAAAATTTGGCTACTTACTCTACACGAAATAAAGTTGGGATTTGGTGGTATTTTTTTGACAATTTTCCTAATAAAAATCAGAGAATATAACCAAAAATGATGTGAGGAATCATTTTATCTATTATCCTAGTTATTGTTTTGATCATTCAAATTACTTAGATTTTTACTGTTTAATATATAACTTTTTTTGTTCAATATTTTTTTTGGTCGGAACTTTTTTTGTTCAATATTATCATAATGTTTTTTCAATCTTAGCCCTCAAATTTGTTCTTAAAATCCTTTTTCTTATTAAAATATATTTTCATTGTGTAAAAGGAATTCCTCTACGATTTGGCAAGCCAATAAGTATTTGATTTTATCCTTTTAAGGTATATGGAAAAGTCAATAGACATTTTCTTTTGCGACAAATAGACATTATCTTTTTTTCCTTTAAGACTATGAAAATACAACGTAATTCCTTCATCTTTTTTTGTCTAACTCATTTCGATTTGACTTTTCACTACCCGGCAGTTGTAAATTGGACCACTATTGGATTTTTCGACTAGTGTTCGTAATGACATGCAATATGAAAACGATAAATCGATGGTGGGACGTATAGCTAACAATTTTCAAGATTTTTTTTTTTTTTTTTTTTTTTTTTTTTTTTTTTTTTCAAGATTTTGATAGATAAGTTGTTTATTTTGAAAACTGTTTTACAGTTATAATTCTTTAACAGTATGTATAATCTCGTATATAAATTCTTCGCAAACTAGGACCTAGTGCTCTTAGTTTTATTCTTAGAATTCTTTCAAAACAATATTCGATTTAAGGTTGCATTCATTGTACAAAAGACTTTTTTGGTTGAATAAATTTAACATTCATTCAAAAAAAAAAAAAAAAAAATCTCGTATATAAGGTTTAAGTTCATTAGTGTAATATAATTATTATTATCGACATCCGAAATTCCGAATTATTCATGCCAGAAAATAACAATTACAAAATAATGAAATTAATATAAGGTTTTACTATCATTTGAAAATTTGTAGAGAAAATAACTAACTATATTTGCTTACCACATCAATTTAAAAAAGAAAAAATGCCATAAAAACTAAAATATCATACTTTCTCATTTAAAAAGTGAATATCAAACTTTGTATTGGCCAAAAAAAAATACTTTACCTCAGTTATAAGTAAAACCTCAATAAATTAATACTCGATAATTTAATAATAACTATAAAATAATAAATTTTTCTAGTCCCGAGTCGGATAATGTAATATTTAGCATATTTCAAGAAAATAATAAGATAATTATTATTTTAAAATTCTTATGTAAATACATGATCCCATCAATATTACAAATTAATATTTGTATGAACTTATCAATATATATTATATGTCATATATAAATAAAAAATATTATATGTAAGAAAATCTAGTGAAAATATGATTCTAGTATTGTTTGTTTTCCTTGAATTTGCATTAATTCTTGATAGAATTTATTTCTAAAATTTTTATTAAATTGAAAAAGTTTGTGTTATTTACTAAACGTTTTTTTTAATCAAACCGTTGTTTTCTAAACTTAATAATTTTTTTATATTTGAAATTGGTTCTAAAAAGGTATCGATTATAACCAAAAAACTGCTTTTCATATAGAATTTTTTTTTAAAAATTTACAAAATTATTCAAATCTATCTAAAATTCAATAATTATTAATTTATCGATAAATTAATACATATCTAAATTAATAAAATGATTCCAAAATTATTAATTTATAGAGGTTTTATTGTATTGTCACAAAGAATTCCGCTTGTTAATTGATTTAAAACGAAAAATTTCCCAAATCTTCATTTCTAATTTCCACTGGTTTTCTTTCTATTTTCCATATCAATTGTACACACTTCTACTTACAGAATCTACGTACCATACACAACCTAATGACTCTTGTGTCTCTTTTGTTTTTTTTTTTGAACCTAATGTTAAATTGTGTCTCTTGTGTCTCTTCTTCTCTGCCATTTGACAAAAAAAAAAAAAAAAAATTCGTAGGACTGAGTGACTGACATATCCGAAACAACCAAACAGAATTATCACTTTTAAAATTGTAATTAGTTTTTAGATTTTCCAAAGATGGACGAACACGAAGGTTCTGTTTTGTGGTACACCATTTATTTTAACAATTATAACATGGAAATTCTATGCTAAATTATACAGCAAATCTTGTTTCAGTTACAATTTGCATGCACCAAATTTTTTTACATCATCATTCTCCAGAACAAACCAAAACATTGAGGGGAAAAATGATTATTCTGAAAAGTACAGAGGTGAAAATTGTAACGACCAGGTCCGGGTGTTTCGGAAACGAACGATGATGATAATTCACTTCAGTGAGCATGCATCCGGATGAAGCGCTTGTGACGATGGCTTTGACAATGACTTCCTAGTACTGATGAGAGGACGGTAGTGCCAAGCGTGATGAAGCGGCGGAGGATGTTACACGATTGAAGAAAATGTGTGGTTGAGACTTAAATGATTATGAAACAAAAAAACATCAATGAATAAAGTTGGATTAGGGGTTGAGGTTGAATTGAATTTTGATTAATTATCAAAACAAGATGTTGTAGATGCAACGGGAAACTATCGAGATTTGGATTGAGATATGGATTTGATGCACTAATGGTCGAGGAAAGAAAGAAGTGGTGCACTATATCTGTAATAATAACTTACGTACATAACTAATGTGGTGCATTGATTCACAGAGATTATGAATCATTGTAGTTGTGTAGATGAATGGAGGCAAGTCTACCAGACATCTCTAGCGTGATGCATGTAATTTTGGCAACCGATGTTCAAGTTTAACCACCTAAAACTTGTTTTTTTTGTTAAATTTGTTGCATTAATATAAAAGTAAGCCAAAAAAAAAAAAATGGCACATACAAACCGGATAAGGAAATCGAAACAGGTTCAACGAATTCACAAAACTCATTGTGAAGGAAAAAAATCTGGCGAGACAAGCCGAGGAGATAGAAAGTGTCCCAATCACCTGGATCCCTCAACGGTTGGCTCTCATTAACAACCTAAAACTTTGTGGCTATAAATAACATTCTTGTACATATATACAAATGTACTATTTACTTAATGCCAGCATTTTTCTGTTATCAATATAGTGATATATATTATGTAATTTTACATAGGGAATTAGGGATGGATCCACGTACGACGACATTAACACACTGTAGATTACTAAACTACCAATATTAATCTTTAATGTTTTACAATTAACTAATCAAATATATTATAGTCAACATCATTTTCTCTTTCACATCATAATTCAACATCCACTTAATATTTACCATCTAGTTTTGTTTAATGAAATTATATCACCTTATCCTACTATTTTTATTTCATATTTTTAGTTTTCTAGGCAAGCCAAGGAGATAGATAGTGTCTCCAATCACCGGAATCCCTCAACGGTTGGCTCTCAATAACCACCTAAAACTCTGTGGCTATAAATAACTATTTTTTGTACATATATACAAATGTACTATTTATTTAATGCCAGCATTTTATGTTATCGATATAGCTAGTGATATATATTATGTAATTTTACATAGGCAATTAGGGATGGATCCACGTACGACAACATTAACACACTGTAGATTACTAAACTATGTATATTAATCTTTGATGTTTTACAATTAACTTATCAAATATATTATAGTAAACATCATTTTCTCTTTCACGTCATAATTCAACATCCACTTAATTTTTACCATTTAGTTTTGTTCAATAAAATTATAACACCGTATCGTACCATTTTTATTTCATATTTTTAGTTTTCTTTATGTTTTTATTTATTATGATTACAAATTATGAATAGCAACTAATTATCGATTAAAACTAATTTTATAAAATAAAGTTTTTGGGTGTTAAGAGGATTATTGTTCGGATCTATTTTACTAAAACGATGTTTAAAGCGAAAAAACAAAAATTTATTGAATGCTAATTAGACAAGTTTCTATTTATAGGATATGAAAATGAAGAATTTTGATTTAAAAACTATATATATATATATGTTAAATAATTGAGATAATTAAAAAATCAAGAATCTAAGTGACCAATCAATGCATCCTATGTGTCTCAATCAAAAATCAACTCTTCCTCCTTTTTTTTTGCTCAATCAAAGTTTGCCATAAATTAAAGAAGAATCTACTCACAAATTTGTACGAATGTTGAAAACTTTCAACAAAAATTTTGTCACATCATCTCCTATTTATTTTCAAGATACCATTGTAAGGTATTTAATAATTGACCAATTTTTTCAACAATTAAAAAAATTGCTATTGTAAATAGTCTTAGGAAGTTACAATATCGGTAAAGATACATGACATATGAGCTTATGAAGGGGATGTGCCTTAGTCAAGTGGTTAAATCCATTTGACTCCGTCTTCTCCACCGGAGTTCGACTCCATTAAGTCGTGTCATTCCGTGTAATAGGAATTGTTTATAGATCGGATCTTGTCGATCCAAAGACGGAAAAAAAAATGAGCCTACGAGTAGTTACACATATCTTCAATAGTCCTTTTTTGTTAAGTCTCAACATTGTTTTCTTATTTGTTTTTGTATAAATATTGACAATATCTGTGAGGAGGGAAAGAGACGTACGCTTAATGATATGATTTATTTAGTACGTGACACCCTATGATCACATGAGAATTTAAAATAATTCGTTGAGGAGTAGTTAATTGGAAGACTAGGAGAGGAGTAGCCCACTAAATGGAAGACTAGGAGAGGAGTAGACCATTGAAATATTCAAACTATCCTACCACATCTTTCACATTGTTACATTTAACTCAATATGTATACTCGCTTCCTCTATATAAACACACGCAGATTAGTGACCCATACATCAACACACACAATCTAAAGAACATCCTCTAGACAGAAAAAAAGAAATTAGAAAAACAATGAAGTCCTCTTACGCTTCTTCCTCTGATGATCTCCACGCTTTGGTCAATGAGATCAAGAGAGAAATTCAGTTGTCCAACATTAATCTTGATCCTTACTCATTTGTCTCTCCTTCAGCTTACGACACGGCTTGGTTATCCATGATCGAAGAAGAAAACAACGTAGGTGATGATGAGCTTAAACCGATGTTCCAAGATTGTCTAGATTGGATTATGTGCAATCAAAATGCCAGAGAAGGTTTCTGGGGAAACTCCGGAAGTTATACTACGGTGGCTGATGCCGGAGATGAAGGCGGCGAAGAGGACATGTATATTCTCAGTTCCACTCTTGCTTGTGTTGTAGCACTTCAGAAATGGAACACTGGGTGTTTTCATCTCCACAAAGGTGCGTAAAGACTTTGACTTTGTATTTTTGTACTCTTTGACTAAAGTTCGTGCATGTAAAACGTATCACTACGTAAGCAGACAAGGATAACTCACTACGTACGAGGCTGTAGGCCTCACATGCTGGCATGCATGGCCCATATCACGTGCAAATATATACAAAATACGAATTTGGGCTTTTCTTCTACCACGAAGCATATATTTATAGTTTTTCACATGTTTTGTATGCTTTTTAGAAAAATGAAAAATGCAACAGTAATTTAAGCTATCCATTTCAGGTGCAATTTTCATTCAGTAACAAATACAAAATGAAAAAAAAAATTATAATTTTTTTAATATGTTTACAAATTACAAACACACGTACGCTAAGAAAAAAACTGATGTTTCGTTTTACGCGTATGGTTTGAATGAATTTTGTTTAAAGTGGTTAAGCTTACGTTAAGTTGTGGCCTTATAGGTACATAAGTACAAATGTTAATATCATAAACGACTCTTACTCATTCCAGTTTACTTGTTTCTTTATTTTGTAAATAAAACATTTTTTCCCGTATAATATATTGTACCCTATTATAATTTTTATTTCTTAAGGGACGAGATATATCGAAAGAAATACGGAGATAATACTTGGAAAATACATCAACGAAGAAGGATCTTATCCTCGTTGGTTCATTATCAAATTCACAGGAATCCTAGAGCTTGCTCAACAACTTGGCTTACATTTTGTCTTCTCTAGTCGCTGCATCGATATGATCAAAGGGATGTTTTATCAACGCCAAGAGATTATCAAAAGGTAACGTTATATGATAAGAAATCTTGATCCAAAAAGTTTCCCCATAAGCATATATAATAGTTTTAAAAAAAGTTGGGTTAATTAATATTGTTTTCCAGAGAAAAATTGGTGGATGATTGTAACTACAAACCTCTATTGGCCTATTTAGAGGTGTTACCATCGAAATTATATGTCAAAAATCAAGAAGAAATCATCGTTAAGAGTCTCGACAGTATCGATGGCTCGTTGTTTCAGTCGCCTTCAGCAACTGCGTCAGCGTTTATGCTCACTCGCAACTCGAAATGTCTAGCTTATCTTCAAAATCTCGTTCAAAAATGCCCTAATGGAGGTTAATCAACATTCTAGTTATCCCAAAGTTATAAATAATTTGAATATGATTATTATTTAAATGGATTTTAAATATTTAATTAACAAGCTATGTGTGATTTCTTGTCTCAGTGCCACAAAAGTACCCTCTCAATGAAGATCTCATAAAACTCTCCATGGTTAATCTAATAGAGAATACTGGTTTAGGAGAGTTCTTCGGTGTAGAGATTGAACACGTTCTTGAACAAGTTTACAGGTGAGGGAAATTTATAATCAAATTTTTTTACTTTTCTTTAAAAATATATAATATTTAAGCGAAACTTATTTTCTCCGGGTAATTTTAAGGCACTACGAAGAAAAAGATGTCGAGAGAATGCCCATGAGTTATCTAGCAGATCAATTGCACAAAGACTCTCTTGCATTTCGGATGTTAAGAATGCATGGTCGAGACGTTTCACCTAGTAAGAATTTCTCGTTTCTATGTCTTTCTTCATCGGGTTCTCGTTAGTGCATCTAATCGGTTGGTTTTTAAAGACATTTTAACCACTAATCTATATATAATAGCAATCTAATAAATACCCTTTGCACATCTGAACGGTTGCGTCTTTTTATCGCAACTTTTCGTTTAAATCGGTTATTTATTACGGTTATTTTGGTTGCGTCTTTTTATCGTAATTTTCGTTTTAGTCGGTTATTTTTTTACGGCTAAATACCATTTGCACATCTGAACGGTTGCGTCTTTTTATCGTAACTTTTCGTTTAAATCGGTTATTTTTTTACGGTTATTTTGGTTGTGTCTTTTTATCGTAATTTTCGTTTAATCGGTTATTTTTTTACGGCTATGTCGTTTCCAATAAATACCATTTGTACATCTAAACGGTTGTGTCTTTTTATTGTAATCTTTCGTTTAAATATTTATGGTTGTTTTTCAGTTATTTTTGTACGGTTGTTTTATTGAATTTTTTTTTACGTAAACCAATAAACTACATATAAAATTGGTTTATTTCATAGTTTACATATGGATATATTTTTAATTTTTAAACTAAAATTTATATTTTACGGGTATGTTTTTTAGAAAATTGCAATCCGAATATCTTCTGCTGATGCTTCTTTTTATTGTACCTCTTCATAAACAGTTGCAACCTTTTATTTGAATTATTGTAATATTTAGTTTATTTCACGAACAATTGAAACCTTTAGTTTATATCACAAACAATTGTAACCTTTGATTTATATATTTAGTTTATTTCACGAATATAATAGCAATCTAATAAATACCATTTGCACATCTGAACGGTTGCGTCTTTTTATCGCAACTTTTCGTTTAAATCGGTTATTTATTACGGTTATTTTGGTTGCGTCTTTTTATCGTAATTTTCGTTTTAGTCGGTTATTTTTTTACGGCTAAATACCATTTGCACATCTGAACGGTTGCGTCTTTTTATCGTAACTTTTCGTTTAAATCGGTTATTTTTTTACGGTTATTTTGGTTGTGTCTTTTTATCGTAATTTTCGTTTAATCGGTTATTTTTTTACGGCTATGTCGTTTCCAATAAATACCATTTGTACATCTAAACGGTTGTGTCTTTTTATTGTAATCTTTCGTTTAAATATTTATGGTTGTTTTTCAGTTATTTTTGTACGGTTGTTTTATTGAATTTTTTTTTACGTAAACCAATAAACTACATATAAAATTGGTTTATTTCATAGTTTACATATGGATATATTTTTAATTTTTAAACTAAAATTTATATTTTACGGGTATGTTTTTTAGAAAATTGCAATTCGAATATCTTCTGCTGTTGCTTCTTTTTATTGTACCTCTTCATAAACAGTTGCAACCTTTTATTTGAATTATTGCAATATTTAGTTTATTTCACGAACAATTGAAACCTTTAGTTTATATCACAAACAATTGTAACCTTTGATTTATATATTTAGTTTATTTCACGAACGATTGCAACATTTGATTTATATATATTTTTTTGTATTTCACGAAAAATTGCAACCTTTGGTTTATTTTACAAATTGCTATAACATCTAATTATCTACCGTCGCGTCTCTCGGTATAATTTTCATAAACTAATATTTTTAATTTTTAATTACCAAAATGCATTTAAATGAGATTGTAATCGTTTAATTGAACCGTTGAAACATTTGGTTTATTTGACCAATCATTGCAATTTTTGGTTTTGTTTTACAAACCATTGTAATCTTTAGTTTATTTGACGAACTTGACGAACCGCTACAACTTTTGATACATCGCAACATTTCATTTACTTCTTTTTAAACTAAAAAAATTATTTTACGTTATGTTTTTTGAGAAAGTTGCAATCCGAGTAAATATTTTTTACGGTTGCATCTTTTTATCGTAATTTTTCATAAAATGATTGCAGCCGTTTAGTTGAACCATTGCAACATTTAGTTTATTTCACGAAAAATTGCAACTTTAAGTTTATTTTATAAATCGTTATAACATTTAATCATCTACCATCGTTATTATTAATTTTCGTTTGATATTTTTTTTAACGATTTTTGAAATATTTTCCCCCGCGACATCGCGGGGGTCCGGAGTTCTAGTATAATTAAGAATAATTTTAAAAGAGGAAAAAAAATGAGAAACGGTTATCAATGAGAACCCTTTTCCTGCCACATGTTCTAATAATATTATTATTATTATTTTATTTGTGAAAACATTTTATAGTCTCTACACCGATGAAGGTGCTATTACAACTCCATATCAAGTCAAGTCCTCACTTATTTTGTATATCAAGCGGTAGTCTTTTGTCGGCAGAAAGCAGTAAAGCACTGCTGTTTTGTATTTCTTATTCTTTGGTTAAGGCTTTCCATTTTATTTGTGAAACTTGTATTATATTCTTTAACTGGGAAAAATAAAATCAAACTACTGTGTATACTCTATAAAGTTCAAATTTTTGAAACTAACCATCATATTAACAGAAAAAAAATATATATCATCTAGATTGGTCAAAAATAATTCTTTATTATTTTCTATGCTGATTTTAAAAGCCTAAGTGTAAATCCTTTGCAGGAAGCTTTTGTTGGTTCTTGAATGATCAAGAAATGCGATATCAGTTAGAAAGAAACATAGACTCTTTCTTGCTTGTGATCCTAAATGTTTACAGAGCCACGGATCTCATGTTTCCGGGAGAGCATGATCTTGAAGAAGCAAGAGAATATACTCGGAATTTACTCAAGAAAAGTCGGTCCATTAATGAAAAAATGGTACTAATATTTTTCAGTAAGGTGAAGTATATATTTGAAGTGATTTAAAACGCATTGCTTAATGTTTCAAACAATGATTGATCTGTAGATTGTGCATGAATTAAGTACTCCATGGATAGCTCGACTCAAACACCTTGATCACAGGATGTGGATTGAGGACAAGAACTCAAATGCCCTCTCAGTCGAAAAAGCCTCTTTTCTAAGGTATGTACAATCAATACATATGTAATTGATCAATCTAATTCTAGATCCATCAATAATAAGCTAATTCAAGGTTTTTTTTTCCTTCTTCTTGTGATTTCTGGAATCAGACTAAATAGTGCGTATAGCAACAAACTGACTCATCTTGCCGCAAAAACCTTCGAGTTTCGACAAACCAAATATTGTCGCGAGCTGGAGGAATTGACAATGTGAGTAGACTTTAGTTTACACTGCATGGTAGTTGAGAACAAAAGCATTTTGGTATTGAACAAAAATTCTAATCTATGAAGTGAATATATATAGTCTAACAATAGCGATTTGAGACAGGTGGGTAAAGAAATGGGGACTTATTGACATTGGTTTTGGTAGAGAGAAGACAACATATAGTTACTTTGCAACTGTGACTTCGTTGCCCTATGAATATGCCATTAAATTTGGTAAGCTTGCAGCAAAAAGTGCCATCCTCATCACAATTGCCGATGATTTCTTTGATGAAGTAGCTTCTTTCAATGACCTGGAAGCTCTTACTAAAGCAGTTTTAAGGTAAATTTATTAACATCCGGTTATACTGGCGTGATTAGAGATCTTAATTAATAATATAATTCTATATATATATTTGTTTTAGATTATATTTAGTTGAAGATAAGCTAGTGATCCACTGATTCTGAGAATATTAGGAACACTAAGATAATCTCAAGTTACTGGTTTAATTTATAAAAAAAACTAAAGAAATCAAACCTTTTTGAACTCGTTGAGATCTCTGTAAATTCATGGAAAAAAATGATAGACATGCAAAATACTATTTTTTTTATAAGCTATTTTATTAATTAAAAAAAAAAACTTCATAAAATCCACAGCCATCATGGCTATATATTAAAAAAAAAAGATATTGAAAACCCAAAACCCCTATATGTATTATCTTAATTTTACGTTGCATCAGAATTTAATTATTTTATTGATTCTTGATTGAATTATATATTGTTTACGTATATATGATAGATGGGAAGGAGAAGAGCTTAAAGGTTACGGCAAGATCATTTTCAGAGCACTTGATGATATTGTAAGAGAGACTGCAAATACTTGTCGTACGCACCACAAAACCGACATAATCGTCCATCTTCGCAACATCGTATGTCTCTTTACTCGACACTTATCCATAAAAATATATATTTTGCAGAAATTAACATATATTTCGAATAGGATCACGTATTCCTTGTTTTAATGCATTGAAAACATTAAAGTCTCAACTTCTTAATAGTCAACTAAGGATCTTAACTAAATTTTCTCTTTTTATTATTATATGTAGTGGGGTGAAACATTTGAGTCGTGGCTGCGTGAAGCTGAATGGAGTAAGAAGGGACACACAGTGTCGATGGAAGAATATATTCGAAACGGAATGACCTCAATCGCAGCACACACCATTGCTCTTTCCATCTCATGTCTCATGGAACCTTGTTTTCCCCAAAACAAACTCAAACAGGGAAATTACGACAACATAACTACATTGCTCATGATCATATCTCGACTCTTAAATGATCTACAAAGTTATCAGGTGATTCAACTTTTAGGTTTATTTGTTTTTAGGGGTTTAATTAATTCAAATGAAATCAAGGAATGTTAATCCTATGACTTGGAAAATGTATATTTTTATTTCACAAGATAATTTTGTTATTAAACGATCAAACTTGTCCATGCAACGTTATATATTGCAGAAGGAACAAGAACAAGGGAAGATCAACTCCGTGCTGCTCCACTTGAAGAATCATCCAGGTCTCAAGATTGAGGACTCGATCGCTCATATTGAAAAGATAATCGATTCAAAAAGAAAAGAGTTTATGGAGCATGTACTAGTTGATGGAAAAAGTGACTTGCCGAAACCGGGCAAAGAGATTCACATGTCTTGTTGTAAAGTCTTTGAGATGTTTTTTAACAAGAAGAACCGTTATGATTCGAACACGGAGATGCTTCAAGACATTAAGAAGGCTCTCTATGATCCCGTGAATGTTTATGAACTATCAGAGATCGAGCCTATGCCACTAATGACACATGGTGATGACATTATGATTCTTCCTTTGCTTTTGAACAGTTTGCCAAATATTCTTGAATTTAAGAGGAAGGACGAATACGGAGCAATGAAAACATCTATGTGCTTGGGAAGAACTTATAGTGTTCATAAACGCGTTATGGCCTCACAGCTTGATGATCAACAGAAGCCTCTCAAGATTGTTGCCTCGCAGTGGAAACCGGTACCAATGATGCCATCAATATTCGCACCATGCTTCTACTAATTAATTTCGTATCGTTATATATTATCTATATATAGATTGGTGATTCTTTACATTTGGTATATGTAAAATAGTTTGTGTTTTTTTTTCTGTGTGCAAATTGTTATGACAAGTGTGATTGTGAAAGATTAAGAAAGTATGTTGCTTTCAATTATATTTATGATAGCATTTTTTTTATATATATAGGAATGTGAATATCATATAAAATGAAAGTTTGAGGTTTTAGAAAAGAGCTTAACCTAGAAGTTGCAACCTTGCCAGGAAAAGAATAAAAAAGGATTACAAAGTTTGTTTAGTGTCAATCAACACGATTATCTGATACCAAAGCGCCATCAAGTTGGCAAATTGCTTCCGGTTCTTTATTTCTGGCTGTGATGGTGGTAATACGCATTTTCTTCTCAATGTCTTTGAAAACTGCAGCTGGTGTGGCATAGAATTGGTTATGAAGAAAATTATTCCTGAGCTTCCAAAGGTGGTACACGGCGGCCTGGCACGCAAACTTCCGAATAATCGGACGGGAAGAGTCTGTTTTCATCCTTGTCCAGGCAATAAGCGAGGACCAAGTGTGGAAACCACAAGGAGATAGGTGAAGGTGTGATTGGAACAGCGTCCAAACCTGCTCGCTGAAAGGGTATCTTAATAGCAAGTGCTCATGAGACTCTTCAAATATCGAACAAAGGCAGCAAGTTATGGGGGTAGAAATACCCCAAGAAGCTAACCAATCTCTAGTGGGAAATCTCTGCAGCTGCGCTACCCATATTTGTGCAAGCTATATGACTAAAAAGTTGTTCGAATCTCATATCGAAAGTGAAATGGATCTATATTAGTTTTTTTGTTGTAATTAGATCTTTAAGTGGTACGTATACAATGGCATGAGTTTTTTCTACTCATTACTAGTTATGCTTGATTTGAAAGTATGATTCCTTAATAGTACTCTCTATGTTCCCATCCAATTTTTATACTTTTCACACATATTAGGAAACAATTTTTAAATTGAGTATAAATGCATTTTTTTGATTAACAAGTAAACCAATAGTACATATTCAATTATTGTTTTTTGAATTTTACAATTCATCACCAATAACTAATAAAAAATGCATATAAAATTTATTATAGTCTTCAATTCTTCATAACTAGTTTGTCTTTATCGCGCCAAAGGGGGAGGAACTCCATTGAGAAAGGCAGAGAAAAACGCAAGAGATTCGCTGGGTTTGAACGTAGGCACGTCATGTCCTGCTCCTTTGAAGGTTGCAAACGTTAGACCTTCATATTCTTGAAACCATCCACTTACCTAAATATAATCAACGTTGAACAAAAAGGATCTGATCACGCTTCAAAAATAACTCTCATTAGATGATGAGATATCGATTAGTATATTTTTGAATGCGATCATTTTGACCTGTTTCTCGTGATACCATGGCCTCCAAGTTGTTTTGATTGGTAATTCCAGTTTATTTATGCAGTACCTTGTCGAGAGTACCGGAACTCTTCCGTCAGTATCGCCACTGAGTCATCACAAACAAATTGAAAATTGTTCAGCCAATTATAGTCAAATAGGATAAAATTTTCCTTAAAACCAAGAGGGTAAAGGAAAATAGATGGAAATACATTTTGCTCGGGTTTCAAGCAACCAAGTTTAGAATGTATGTTTCAGTCCCATTGCTCATATGTTCCTATGAGGTTTGAAGTAGCAAATGTATAAAACTAAAGAAATTGTCTTTTGAAAGTTTTTTTTGCCAAAAATGTAACCGAGAAATTTACCTATAAACCCAAACTCTATATCCTCCGGCAATGAGTTTCTTATATATAGGCAAAACGGATCGCTTTGAATCAGTCCAGTTCCAGTGATTTAGAATATCAGCGCTGTTTTTCGGAAAAACAAGAAATGAGATTAATTTAGATAATCTTTATCATAGACTATAATCAGAAATTAAATAAGTAAATCACAAGAGTAATACATACTTGCAAATGGTCCAGTTCTTGAGATGAACACCATCAGTCGCGTGAAGAGCCTTTTGAACATCAGCTCTATTGTAGAATACTTTTGCGTAATCATCCAAACACGGGTCAAATCCATCGAACAGCCTTGGTATCTATGTAAGAGTTTCAGGTTAAGTTCTTGTAGCAAAACACAATTAGTGAATGTATTATATAATTAGTTTACCATCTTGGAGTTGACGTAGGAATCAACCTTTGATGAATGGTGCATGCAGACAGGAGTGTAGAGGCTGAATTGATCGATCTCTTTGTATTGTTTGAGTATTTCATCTACGCCGTCTTTGCAATCTTTAACGTCCCATATAGTGTTACTACTGAAATTGCAACTCCTTTTAATGACTCTATATGTCTCGTCTGATATCACTGCGTGGCTCCACGCATAATCCACCCATCCTGTCCAATCTTCCGCATATGATGTCAATGGATTTCCAAGCTGCGTCCATAATTAATCAAATAAAAAGTTACAAAAATCATGTCTTGAATGGAACATCGACAATGTACGATGTGTTTGTTTAGTGTTTTATGTGAATTAAACGTATTACTAAAAGCTCCTTAAGCTTCAACTAACAAGTCTAGAATATATTCAAAGATTGGTCAAATTTTGAACAATTTACACTATATTCAATTTCTTTAGTGTTGTAGAAGAATCAAATATACCTAAGTGTCCTTAAATTAATGTTCAACGTCAAATTGATTAGTGTTATGCGAATCAAACATATACGGAAATGTCCTTAAAGTTCAAATCGAACGACAGATAGAATTTACGATGTTTTTGTGTAGTGTTTTATACTTTTATGAGAAACCAAAGGTGATAATTACCAAAATCCCCTTTAAATTAATGTGAAGTGACAAGTTGTCGTTGTGTTCCTTGTTCTTGTCATAAATAACCTCTGCAAGCTCGGGTACATATTTTCCTGTCCGTGCATAATCGTTTATATAACTCAAAACATAAATATCAAACCCTAGATGACGTACTGTATAATATTGATTTTATACGAAAATCAAAACCTGCATAGCTCTCTCCTGCGATAAAGAAGTTGTTTTCTTTGTAAGCTGGGAATCTCAAGAACCACTTCTGGAGAAAAATGTATGAGTCTCTCGCTGTTTATTGAGATAAAAACAATCAATTGACATCCAACAACAAGATTTTTTTTTTTCATTTATATTATAAATATAAGTCATATAAATATTTTACCTGTAAAGTCATCGCCAAGTTTTCTATAATCACTACTTGTGTTTGTATATGAATACCCAACACCAGCCGGAGATTCAAGAAAGAGAACATTGGCCTCTGCATCACCAAATTTAACCCACTTAAACTCGTTATAAAACATATACATATTATTGAATAACTTTAATGTGGAAAAAAAAACTTTAATATACCTTTATTCCATGCGTAGGGATTAAACTTAAGATCGTTTCCTTTGTTATCAACAAGAAATGGACCAATCTCTTGTGTTGCTCCGTATCCCACAGAAGAACATCCAGGACCTATGTTTATTATATTTATCAGCAAAGAAAAATCAAAATGTGCCCCCATCGGCCAAAACGATTTATAAGAAAAAAATATGAATTTATCAACAAAAGAAGAAGTGAAATTAGCATAAATATGTTTCCTTGTAAGTGATAATTATAGTTTGGTTACCTCCATTAAGCCACAGTACTAAAGGCTTTACGTTCGGATGAGTCATAGCTTCGAAGAACCAATAAAACAAAGCCCTCCCATTTGTTTCATTAACTGTGACATAACCGGCGTAATGTCTGAAGCTCACTTTTGGTTGGCCAGGAAAGTTTGTCACAAGATCTCTCATTGCTCCTGGACTATCAGATGAAACAAATACGAAAAGAATGCAAAGATACAAAGCAATAGACACATTGAAAATGTTCATCATAATCTGATGATTCATAATTTTAATGGAGATCAAGTAAGAGGTAATGAGATGAGATGGATTAGACATGAAGGTTTTGATGTCTATCTATTTATAAGGAAATATGGTGACTATTTTTTTGTATCAAGGGGAACTTTGTGTTTGTTTTTTATTAAATTGAAAATACATAAATTAGGTGGGTATGGAATAGTAGTATCCTATGTGGCAATTTATGGCTTTAGGCTTTCTTTTTTTTTTGTGAGAGGTCTCTATATGCAACTCTTAATGGCTTTAGCTAGTTCTTAGAAACCTGTTCAAACAAAATATACAGAGCAATTAATATATATATACTTTTAAAACAAACCTAGCTAACATAGCCCAATGGTAGCAGAGAAAGCAATGGTAGTTGTATAATATTAAAGCCTTCACACAGCTAATGCCTTAATGGGAAGCAGGTAATTAATTGGGTGATTGGGACCTAAACTAAAACTAGATTAATGTATCAGCCTAATAATTTTATTAAATACAACAGTTATTTAATATGACATTAACGTAGTATCTTGTGATTTTTTTGAGCAATAGGAAATTTTGACGTACTACACTTTCATATTAAATGATCTAGTTTTTTTACTTATATTAGTAATGAACAAGACTATGTTCTTTATTTATTGTTTATTACGATGCATTATCAAATAACAGACAAATCTTAGGTCAAATTAATCTAAGTATTTATTCTAATGAATCTCTTAGAGTATATTTTCAAGAAAATTCATTTGCTAGCTAGATGACTTTTGTGGAGGAGCGGATGAAGCACTTTCTATTTGATAGGTTTTAATCACGAAATGGCAAAAAGTAATGCAACTTTATTGTCTTATTAAACCTGTGGAAATACGAGAATTGGTTAGCCCCACAATAGCATAACTGCATAGGATCATTGAATTCTATAAATTTAATTTATGTTTATAAAGGGTAAATATGTTTTTGAGAAGAGCTTAATTAGAGCCTAATCAATTTATCGTGGATCAATTAAAAAATAACGTTTTGTACAGTTATATTTTTATGTTTAATTAACAGAAAAATGAAAAAGACTATGTTCATTACACTTTTCAAAATTTTATTTTCTGGTTTTAATCAATTTTAGTTATATATATATATATATATAGAGAGATATTAGCTGAATAATATTTTATTAATTGGTCAAGAATGCCTAATATGAATAAAAACACGTTGATTTTCTATTAAACAACATTTTCAACATTTTGGTGAAAATTGAACGTTCGAGGGATTTTAGCTGCGTAAACAGACGATTTTAAAACAGAGATTTGAACAATATATGTATTACATCATAACTAGCTTCTATTTGTATATACAGTATGTGTATACAATTAAGATAAAAAAATCTAGCTTTTGATAAATATTTAGCAAATTTTACACATAAATTTTACACGTAAATCATCATTTTTTCAAACATAACATTATTCCATTGAGCTAGATTGTCAAGAGCTAAACATTCCAATAAGAAAAGAAAAATGACATGACACGTTGAAATATCTTTGAACAAATAATCTTTGCGAAAGGCAAATGAGGTATATATTCTAAGTTGGTGGTGCCTTTAATTAAAATATTGTTTCGTTTCTTTCAAAAACCTAAATGGCTTCAACAAACGCAGAGGATTTCGCAAACTACCGAAAGTAAATGGACCTTTTGTCATTTGTGGCGAGCCTAGCTAGTGCGTCTTAAGTTTTGAAATAAATTCAATTAATTAAGTAGTAAAAATTAAAAAATATAAAAAAGAAGTAACAAAATTAAGAAACACAGAAATAGTGTTTTTTGAATGGTTATGACTTATGACATGGAATTCAACTTACTATAATTAGAGGGAAATATTATTCCATTAAATCTCCCGTGTGACATTTGGTATTTCCCCTATTAGTCTTTATATTTTATATTTTGTGGAAACGTAAGATGGGAATATAATTTTTCTATTTTGTAATAGAAAATTGGTTTAAGAAGTTCGATGACATCATTTGGTTTACAATAAAATAAGACCTTCGATATTTTAAAATGATCTTTAACTTATGTAGTCTTGTATAAGTAATCCTTTCCATAGAACCCTTTAGTAGGTGAATAGCCACTAGATTGCAACTTATAGGTTATATTTGGTCTATAATTAGAATGCGTGAATACAATTCTCCAATAACTTTTTTAATAATCTTCAAATGGTTGTAATGCTAAGACTTTATTGTTTGTATATTACTTTAATAATCTTCAAATGGTTGTATATTGAGAAAATAGAACGTGTAACATATGATGGGGACCGCTTTTTCATTAGTCATTAGTCATGCATGACTCTATTTTTGCATATGGAAGTGCACACTACAAGAAACTAATGATATCAATTATGTAATTTGAGTGAATTGAAGGAATGATTTGAACTTATGAACTTTCGTCTTATTGAATATCTATGTCATATTTGCTGTACTTAGCTAAGTGATGAGAGTATTCAACTACTTTCCAATATATTGTCTCTCGAACCTTAATATGCATTAGTCTCTCGAACCTTTTAGTTTTGTTCTTCAACTTTTTTACTTTTTAAGTAGCAAATTTGTTAATCAAATCGAGATAAATTGAGACGAAGGATGGTTTGGTGTTTAGATAATGTGGAGTCAAAGAAAGCGAAAGTATAAATTCGAACTTTTGTGATATTACTTGGAAAAAATGATATGAGAATATGGAATTTAAAATAGTAGAGAATATCAAAAATGCTCTACGAAGGTTTAATTCTCATCCATCGATTTGACTGGTCTAGAATATATTCGGTCTTGTGTTTGCGTTATATAACCATAGATGTGACATAACTCCGATTCTCTATCTGACATGTTTATTCATATGTACATGTCTTCACATGTCACGTATCGTTATGTCTGAAAAAATGACGTGAAACTGTCCAAACGAGAGACTCGAAGCCGATATATAGAATATTTTCTATGAACTTTCAAATTCAAGGAATTGATAAGACTTATGAGTGAATATTCGGATCCAAAATTTGGAAATCTTACGTGTATTATCAATAGGAATTTATTTTACGTGGTGTATTAGGGTTTTGTTTGGTTTGAAACTTTGAATATATTGATCAAGTTGATCAAATAGTTTTAACCAGACCTACAAAACTCAACAGAAATCAAACTTTCTATTCGTCTAAAATAGAAAACAATTTGTGAAATCCACTTATGAATCAATGTACAAGGAAATTGAAGATCGTGAAAGTAAAGCTATTATTATAACTCGCCGGACCAATCACATTGTGATCGTACAATGATAAATTCAATAGCAAATGCTCCTGTATATTGTCATCTTCCATTAATTGTCAATACCTAAAGTCTAAATGGAACCAATAATCAAATCGGATCAGCTTTCTATTTTTATATCCCAAACCCCAATTGTCTTTTCTAATCTTTCTTTTGCACAAACCTGTAGTCAGTTAAACGAAGAGTTTCTTCCTCCTAAAACTGCACAAAAACCAACGAAAATCCTATCATATGTACCCGCCCGCATTGGTCAAAAAAGAGCTCGAAGCTCGTTCTCATGAATCAGCCATAAACAGATAGCTCAAGTCCTCTACGGTGAGGTGAGACTGTCGGCTTCCCTTTTCATCTTCTCCAAATGCAGAGGCTACCATCATTCTCTTCTTTTGCTGCATTGACAAAACATGTTTAGAGATCATAAATGAAATGGCTTAAAGCTTATAGAGAAATTGAAGAGAATCAAATCAACCAGTTCACAGACCTGAAGGGCTAATATCCGATCTTCGACTGTATCTTTTACTGTGAAGCGAACAACTGTTACTGGTCGTGTCTGTCCTATACGATGTGCTCTATCTATTGCTTGATCCTCGGTTGTTGGGTTCCACCATAAATCCAGCATCAGAACATGACAAGCTGCTACCATATTCAGTCCAAGACTAGCAGCCTTGAGAGACATTATCATTACAGTAACCTAAAAGGTAGAAAAACAGCAGAAAAATTCTATCATCATGTGTTGCTATCATAGAAAGCGGGTCAAGACAAATTCCTTAAAATTCAATTAATGGCTATGTACCTCAGGGAGAGTGTTGAAATCCTGCACTGCTTTATCTCGAGCAGCAACTGACATTGTTCCATCAAGCCTTCTATACTGAATATGTGAACTTACAAGAGAAGCTTCAAGTAGGTCTAGCATCTTTGTCCATTGGGAAAAAACAATGGCTTTTTCTCCAGCTACCTTAACCGGAACAACAACGCTAATACCCTCATTCTTAACTGGAGTTACAGGAAGACTGGAGTATTCACTGTTTTGAGAGATCTGATTTGTATCTGTCAAATCCTGTGCTTTGGGCAGTGATTGTAAGATCTCTAGAGCAGCCTTGATTTTAGATGAACCATATGGAAGATCTTCATCAGAACAGGGGCTAAGGCTATTCGAAGCGGCACGATCCTGCATGTCAGGCATAGCATCGTCCGATCTCGTTTTGGAAGATAATGATGAGATGGTGAGTCTGACATTGCAGTTTGCAAGGGGACAGTGATTATTATCACCAGTAAGGCGTTCATAAATGCACTGTTTACAGAAAACATGACCACAGACTGAAACAACAGCATCTTCAGGTGCATCCTGTGTATAAAGAAGGGAAATAGATTAAGTACTACAAGTCAAAAAAACTATATGATGGTTTGACAACGAAAGGTGATATGAAATGAGATAAGTCAAGGATCTGCATAATAGAGTAAAAAACCCTTGAATTTTTTTTATAATGTTTTAGAACTCAGAATCTTACATTGCAGATACCACAAATTGCCAATGAAGCTTCTGACTGAATCTGTTTCTTAGCTAATCCAACAGAAGATTCCCATGTAAAACTGTATTCACCATTCACCAGAAGAGGGTGATCACAAGCTTGGCGAAGGCGCAAGAGCATCAACAAGATATTTACATAATTTTGCTTCACTGTTCCAGCTTCTGCATATTCCTGATATAAAAGAACAGAAAGAAAGAAAAAAAAAAAAAACTTAGGCCTTGGGAATGTAAATAAATACAAAGGCATATGC